GTACCAAGGGGTCCAAATTGTGTCAAGAAAATGTCCCCCACACCATTACACCACCACCACCAGTCTGAACTGTTGATACAAGGCAGGATGGATCCATGCTTTCATGTAGTTGGTGCCAAATTCTGACCCTGCCATCTGAATGTCGCAGCAGAAATCGGGACTCATCAGACCAGGCGAGATTTTTTCAGTCTTCCAATTTTGGTGAGCCTGTGTGAATTGTAGCTTCACTTCCCTGTTCTTAGCTGACAAGAGCAGCTGCTGTAGCCCATCTGCCTCCAAATTCCACTAAAGGCAGCAGAGACAGTGATGGTTACCTGCTGCTTCAGAACATTTATGATTAGATCCGATGACCAAATCTCTAGACCCAACTGCTTCGTCTTCATCTAAAGTCAGATCTGGATGATGCTGCTGAGTGCCGTCTGGGACTTTACCTGATTTTGGTACCAAATGATTTTCTGCTCCTGGTTTACCTCTGCAGCATGTCGCCTCAGCACTGGCAGGATTCTCAGCTTGCTGTCGGAGCAGTGCTGCAGTGACAGAATCAGGACAACAAACTATCTTTGTTCCTTAAAGAGAAGGTGACCAGTCCCTCATGCAGAGGTTTCACTGCAGACAACTATGTGCTTCAGAGCTGCTGCAGAGCCATCTGAGGTCTGCAGCTGGTTCATAAGAGCATCAGCTCAGCAAGTCAAGAGGATCGTCAGAGTCCAACCAGTTAGAAAGGTCTGAGAATGAAGTCTCTTTCTGCAGTTCCTCAGCAGAGATGATTGGAGCTCCTGGTTTCATAGGTCAGCTTTAATTATCAGTTGTGTTAAATTCACTGACATCTAACTGTCCAGGGATCACACGTGTGTATCTGTCTTCACTAAAGAGCCAGGGAAGTTGGATGTGATGACAGGAAAGCATTTTAAAGAGCCACGGGATGTGGCAGCCATCTTGAACTGGGTTGAATCAGCTGTAGAGCTACGTTCATCAACTGTTGTCAATAAAACAGCTGGATGGGAGATGAGTTATCAAATAAAGGAACAAATGAGTAAAACATAACATTCCCATCTCTGAGGTCACATTGTTGCACAGTCAGTCTCGCCATCTTATCAGATCTATTTTTCTCTGAAAGCCAAACAAACGACGTCAGGTTTGTTTGTTCTGGAAGGACAGGCTGAGTTTGTGCCGTCCAGACAAACTCAGTGGTGAATTCTGTGTTAAAATATAGAAAAAACATAAACTAATCACAACTATGAGACCACCAGTGACAGTCATGCTGGATGTCATGTGGAATGTTTCAAATAAAGGTTTTAATGAAGTATTACTTTTGAGTAAAGAAATGTACAAATGACATTGTAATTGTTCAGACCCAAAATGTTTCTGTGTGACTGCATCAGAGCTGAGACGGGACTGAAAGCATCTCAGAGAGTTTTGTCTCCGATCCGTCCCCTCTCTCTGTCCCTCAGTGTTGATCTCCTTTCTCATCCACCTGCTCTTCTCCCCACTCCGCTCCTTAGCATTTTATTCCCGTCTTCACCTCCTCGTCCTCCAGAGAATTCTTCTCACATCGTCTCCTCTCAACCTCCTTCGTTTAATCAGTCTTCATCAATCAGTTTAACCTTCTTCTCCGCTGGTTTGCTCTCCTCGCCGCTGCAAACGGAGTCTCTGCAGCATTAGGTCAATCGGTGAAGCAACAGAAATAAATAATCACATCCTGTTTGTTTGTTTGTTGTGTGCAGCTCCAGACTGATGATTGGCTTCTTCATCACCTGCTTCATCATCCTCGTAGCCGTCATGTTTATCTCAGCGGTGTACTGCTGCTTTGGGGTGAGTCTTTGTTCCACCTCAGTGTCAGCTCGGTTCAGTTTCTCACACGATGAGGACAAATGATTCATCCCATAGTCAGTAATGATTCTGTGTATCAGCTCTAATGAAGGCGTAGTATGAAGGATTAAGGAAATAATAAATTAAAATGGACTTTATCTCTCATGACGTGATTAATGTGAAGTCATCAGTTGTCTGCATGTTTAGTTTGATTATTGTTCCTTGATCCTTTTTTTATGTCTTCTATAAGTTTGTAAGAACAAATTGATGTTGTCGTCGTCGTCTTCCTCCTCTTATCCGGGTCCGGGTCGCGGGGGCAGCATCCCAGCTAGGGAGCTCCAGACCGTCCTCTCCCCGGCCACCTCCACCAGCTCCTCCGGCAGGACCCCAAGGTGTTCCCGGATCAGATTGGAGATGTAACCTCTCCAACGTGTCCTGGGTCGACCCGGGGGCCTCCTGCCGGCAGGACATGCCCGAAACACCTCCCCAGGGAGGCGTCCAGGAGGCATCCTGACCAGATGCCCAAACCACCTCAACTGACTCCTTTCGATCCGGAGGAGCAGCGGTTCTACTCCGAGTCCCTCCCGAATGTCCGAGCTCCTCACCCTATCTCTAAGGCTGAGCCCGGCCACCCTACGGAGGAAACTCATTTTGGCCGCTTGTATCCGCGATCTCGTTCTTTCAGTCATTACCCAAAGCTCATGACCATAGGTGCGGATTGGGACGTAGATCAACCGGTAAATCGAGAGCCTGGCTTTCTGGCTCAGCTCCCTCTTCACCACGACAGATTGGTTCAGCGTCCGCATCACTGCAGATGCTGAACCAAACCGCCTGTCGATCTCCCGATCCCTCCTACCCTCACTCGTGAACAAGACCCCGAGATACTTAAACTCCTCCACTTGAGGTAGGACCTCTCCCCCGACCCGGAGTTGGCAAGCCACCCTTTTCCGGTCGAGAGGTTGTCTTATTAAAATCTGACTGAAACAAAACGGATGTTTTTTATAACCCTGTAGCTACAGTCTGGACCAGTTTCATTAAAAACAACGTTCCCACAGAATGATTGTGACAGCTTCACCTGACTTCTGCTAACTTTTAGTGTCTCGCTGGTTACTACCTGCTGTGAACTGCAAATCCTGAGTCCACTTTTTAAAAGGAAATCAGATGAATCGATAATTAATTGTTTGAATGCATTTTCGCTTCACTCTTCTCACCCTCTCAGATCTTTCCAGCCCCGCTGCAGACACTGTCCAAGAGGATAGTCCAGTCCAGACTCAACAGCACCTTGGTTGGTGTCTTCACCATCATCGTCGTCTTTCTCTCTGCTTTTATTAATATTGTAAGTTCTCATACCATCATCATCATCATCATCATCATCATCTCTTAAAGAGGAGAATAAATGAATGGAGGTTTCTTCCTGTTAAAAGGGAGTTTTTTTCTCCACGGTCGCTACATGCTTGCTCAGAATGACGATTGCTGTCGAGTCTTTGACACAAGTCAGTGACTGGATGCAGTCTGTTGGGTTTTCTTACATAGGAAACGTTTAACTAACTGGCATAATGAACTGAACTTGGTGAAGTTGGTTCAACTGGTGTGTTTACTTAGTAAAGTGACTTGGGACGACTCTCGCCGTGAATTTACACAATATAAATGAACTGCATTGAATTAATGATGCAGAGAAATTTCAGTGAAACAAGAAATCTACTGATCCCCGGTCAGCTGAGGCCACTCTTTAACAGCTAGGTTGTTTCAGTTCACCTGCAGCAGTCAGGACCTGCGAAGCTGCATCACGTCAGAGCTCAACATCAGCCTGAGCAGCGTGAATACATGTCACGCTGTCCTGTTCAACTTCAGCCTGGACTCCCAACAATACCCGTGTGGAGAGGGAGCGCTCATCTGCAGCTTTCCTGAGGTGCCATTTTACCTTCTCTTCCCTTTGTTACACAAAATCACACAGACAGCCGTACAATAGCATGGATGAAATAAACCCACGGCAGCTTCTGACTGTTGTTAAAATGTTTTACGTTGTTGAGCAACATGAGGAACTTTATGGGTTCTTGGAGGATGTCAGAGTTAAGTCTCACCTGCACAAACTCACGGTGTTTACTGAGGTGCTAATTACTTAAAGGTTGCATATGGAACAATCTAATTAAAAGCTACGTTTAAAAAAAATAATACTTCAACATGGGTGTGCGGCACGAAGGTACAGGATTTCCTTTCAAAGCTACATTTTTATTTTAATAAAATCATAATTATTTTGACGAGCACTACCAGCCAGTAGAGGGCACCAAACCATCCACTCTGCACAGCGATATTGGCACTGTGGAAAATGGCAGACTCAGAAAGTTATTCTGAACTCAGGAGACGTTGTTTTACTTCTCCGATATGGAGCGACCATAAATATATACAACCAGAGAGTTTAGGTGACGCCTACAACAGACGGACCCAAAAAAACAAAATGTCATGTATCAGCAGCAATCCTGGTATCTCCGCAGCTGGAAACCTTGTTCTGTTGTTCCATAACCTCCGCGCACTAGATGTCACTTTAGTGTTTGTGTTCCATATTCCACCTTTAATTACAGCTAAATGTAACAGGGAAAGGATCATTTCAATGAGAGCTGTGTAGTTAAAGCTCCAACACATGCTCAGGTTTTAGGAGCAGAACAAACGGATGCTTTAGGTGAAACTCCGATTTGGAAACATTTAGTTTGCTCATCAACAGTCAGAATTCTTATAATCCATCCAGATGTAACCACAGCTGTCAGAACAGTTGCACCACATAAAGCTTGACGACCACACGGTAAAGGAAACATACGTGTCTCTCCCTCCAGTACTTTACATCCTGTGTGCTGCTCAGCCTGCTGGCCTGCTCCGTCTTCCTGCAGATCAGCAGCATCGGGAAACTCTTCCTCATGCTCTTCATTGAACTGCTCTACCTTCTCATCATGGAGGTGCCCAAAGTGAGCCTCTTTGACAACCAGGACCTGCTGGTCATGGTCAATGCCATGAACTCTGAGTGAGTGTCCAGGCTGTTTAGTTGTTCTACCTTGATGTGGAAGTCTGCGTCTTATTTACTAATCAGCTCTTCTCTGTCCCCACCCCCACAGCAAGCGAACAAATGGGACGAGGTGAGTCTGATCACCTGTAAACTATGTCGTCTGGTAAACTAGCAGTATCATTACCACACAAATGGAATTGTAATGGGCTGCTAGCAAACACATGCTAACGCTAATGAGCTGAGCTTTAGAGGCCAGCTTGTTCATTTTAGGATATCAATGACATAAGTCATACCTCAGCATGTCTGAAAAGATAATTTGTGTGTGTGTGTGTGTGTGTGTGTGTGTGTGTGTGTGTGTGTGTGTGTGTGTGTGTGTGTGTGTGTGTGTGTGTGTGTGTGTGTGTGTGTGTGTGCGTGGCTTACAGCTGTGTGCTAGATGCCAAGGTTCCTCTGAAGATCATGACCCCAGTGGTGATCACGGTCTTCGTCCTCGCCCTTTACCTTCATGCTCAGCAGGTGGAGTCCACAGCCCGGCTTGACTTCCTCTGGAAGCTGCAGGTGTGTTTGTGTGTGTGTACGTGTGTGTGTGTGTGTGTGTGTGTGTGTGTGTGTGTGTGTGTGTGTGTGTGTGTGTGTGCGCACGCACGTGTGTGTGTATGACCTAAATTAACCTACGTGATATTTACTGTCCACCAGTGAAAGCTGGGCAATAATGTTTTCTTCTACGTTTGGTTATACGATATCTCAGGAACGGCTGAATGGATGGGACTGAAACTCTAAGAAACTTTGCGTGATCATCTAGAGGTGATTAAAATTTGGAGTCACTTTGATCCAAAATGGCTTCCACAGCAAACAGAAAAATGGCTACAGCCCACTTTTCACTTCCTCCGCTTATGTGAAAGGTGTTGTTAGGTGACAAACTAATCAGATAAGCTTTGGCTGCTAAAAGGTCTGCCAAGCCATCCTATATATGTAATTATATATTCAGCCACGACCCATAGACAGAGCTTAGAATGGAATCTGTTGGTACTTACACACTAGCATCGGCTCCACTCTGCTCGCCCCAACGTGACTGTGTTCATTCCACACTGCCTTAGGAATGCGGACGTGATCGAGTGCATGGGCTGTCCCCACAAATGGCATGAAAAATAGATATAAGTGATATGATGAATGCATCTCTGTGCATACTGGTGGGAAAAAGAGCCCGGAGAAGTCCGCAATGTCGCCATTATTAAACAAAGGCAGCCTGAGCAGTCTTGCTTTTGGAGATGTAACGGAATGAAATGACTGTTTTCCACCTAAAAGTCATTTCCCCTCTCCTCTGACACAGAACTAATCTGCATGAGATATTGCCTCAAGGTCTCATGCATTTGCTTCTAAACTGCTTCCTTTCCAGCCCAAGAGAAGAATGAAGAAAATGACTCTCTCCTTTTAATAAATCAAAGAACTCTATTTTTAATAAACTAATCAATCAAAGTGATAGTCAATAATAAGATGTGACCAATCTGTGAAATCAAAATATTAATTACTTTATTATAATCCTATAGAATATAATAAGTAATATGACTTTAAAAGTTTCCACTAGGGCTGATCTCACGTAGCGTTAAGAGACGACACGTTGCTTTTACCGATCCAATCAGAATCTGCCAGATCTGATGGAGGCGTGGTTTTGGTGGTGTTTGGTAAATCTGTCATAAACCAAAACATCCGAAGTATAAAACTATGCCCACATCATCTTTGACGCCAGTTCAAAGTGTTCTAGAGAAGTTGTCGGAGTGGCCAATCCGTAACTTTCCTCTTCATCCGAAAGAACCAACGACAAGCTGGATAAACCTGTTGCCGTTCCACCTGCTGCAACGGTTCCTTTCAGAATAACAGCTGAACCATCACGACCCCGTTTTGGGTCTTGATAGATGCCGATAAACTGTCTTGACCCGGAAGTATCTCAAAGACTGGACTGGTTGGCTGCCGCTGCTGTTCTACAAGCTTCGGCTACAAAGGTCCAAGCTGGACCTCTACACCTCCTGATCTAGACGGGGAATTCCGCTAAGGGTACGTAGACCGACAGAATGGCATTGAATGTGTTTATGAATCTCTTAACCAAAGCTTAGTGCAAAAACATCACCTTAATTCACACCAGAACTAATCGTTTCTGGTTCTGAGCAACATTCCACTCTACACCATTCTCCGTCTTATTCACCTTAGTTACACCATACATTTAGTGTTTAAGTTAGTCTAGTTTAATTTGTTTAGTAATAAATCTTTAAACTTTTAAACAATATAACTATAGACACAGTGTGTGTGTGTGTGTGTGTGTGTGTGTGTGTGTGTGTGTGTGTGTGTGTGTGTGTGTGTGTGTGTGTGTGTATGTCTGCCTGCCTGCCTGCCTGCCTGCCTGCTCTGTCTTCTCGATCCCCAGTGAGTCGTGGAGGATGGCTGCTTATATTGAGCCAGGATTCTCTGGAGGTTTCTTCCTGTTAAAAGGGAGTTTTCCTCTCCACTGTCGCCGCATGCTTGTTTAGTATGAGGATTGCTGTATAGTCACTGACACAAGTCAGTGACTTGATGCAATTTGCTGGGTTCCTTATATACAGGTGCTGGCCAGTAAATTAGAATATCATCAAAAGGTTGAAAATATTTCAGTAATTCCATTCAAAACGTGAAACATGTACATTATATTCATGCAATGCACACAGACCAATGTATTTCCAATGTTCATTACATTTAAATTTGATATTCATAAGTGACAACTAATGAAAACTCCAAATTTGGTATCTCAAAAAATTAGAATATTCTGAAAAGGCTGAATATAGAAGACACCTGCTGCCACTCTAATCAGCTGATTTACTCAAAACACCTGCAAAGGCCTTTAAAAGGTCCCTCAGTCTTGTTTTGAAGGCACCACAATCATGGGGAAGACTTCTGACTTAACAGCTGTCCAAAAGACAATCATTGACACCTTGCACAAGGAGGGCAAGACACAAAAGGTGATTGCTAAAGAAGCTGGCTGTTCGCAGAGCTCTGTGTCCAAGCACATTAACAGACAGGCGAAGGGACGGAAAAAATGTGGTAGAAAAAAGTGTACAAGCTCTAGGGATAACCTCACCCTGCAGAGAATTGTGACGACAAACCCATTCAAAAATGTGGGGGAGATCCACAAAGAGTGGACTGCAGCTGGAGTCAGCGCTTCAAGAACCACCACGAGGAGACTCATGAAAGACATGGGATTCAGGTGTCGCATTCCGTGTGTCAAGCCACTCTTGAACAAGAAACAGCGCAAGAAGCGTCTCGCCTGGGCCAAGGACAAAAAGGACTGGACTGATGCTGAGTGGTCCAAAGTTATGTTTTCTGATGAAAGCAAGTTCTGCATTTCCTTTGGAAATCAAGGACCCAGAGTCTGGAGGAAGAGCGGAGAAGCACAGAATCCACATTGCATGAGGTCCAGTGTAAAGTTTCCACCGTCAGTGATGGTGTGGGGTGCCATGTCATCTGCCGGTGTTGGCCCACTCTGTTTCCTGAGGTCCAGGGTCAATGCAGCCGTCTACCAGGAAGTTTTAGAGCACTTCATGCTTCCTGCTGCTGACCAACTTTATGGGGATGCAGACTTCACCTTTCAACAGGACTTGGCACCTGCACACAGTGCCAAAACCACCAGCACCTGGTTCAAGGACCATGGTATCCCTGTCCTTGATTGGCCAGCAAACTCGCCTGACCTTAACCCCATAGAAAATCTATGGGGTATTGTGAAGCGGAGGATGCAATACGCTAGACCCAACAATGCAGAGGAGCTGAAGACGACTATCAGAGCAGCCTGGGCTCTCATAACACCTGAGCAGTGCCACAGACTGATCGAGTCCATGCCACGCCGCATTACTGCAGTTATTGAGGCAAAAGGAGCCCCGACTAAGTATTGAGTGCTATACATGCACATTCTTTTCATGTTCATTCTTTTCAGTTGGCCAACATTAGAGAAACAAACATTTTTTCATTGGCCTTTAGAATATTCTAATTTTCTGAGATACCAGATTTGATGTTTTCATTGGTTGTCACCTATAAATATCAAATTTAAATGTAATATACATCGGAAATACATTGGTCTGTGTGCATTGCATGAATATAATGTACAAGTTTCACGTTTTGAATGGAATTACTGAAATATTTTCAACCTTTTGATGATATTCTAATTTACTGGCCAGCACCTGTAGGAAACATTATTTCTGATTGGCTTAATGAACTGTGAATTGGAATGTTTATTATGTGAAGTGCCTTGAGACGACTCTTGTCGTGATTTGGCGCTATATAAATAAACTTGAATTGAATTGAATTGAAACTTTTAAAACTTGACTCTCTCTTCTGATGTCTTTGAATTAATACGATGTGGTTACATAATCCCTGCAATAAAAAGTTCCAATCTTCTGGTAAAAAAGTGCCCACAGATCCATAGGGTTGATTTCACATGTACTATGGAATCCTACGTCTTATGGCTTATTAAATAACATGTAATTTAAATCATTACATAGACTCTCAGTGTGGTTGCATGCACACTGACCGACGTCTAAGTTGATCCGGGTTGATTTTATTGTAGTAAGCTGGGAGTCTTTATCCTAGTTTACATTAGCATTAGAAAACCGGCCTCTCAAATAAGTTTGTTCCACTCCGGTACAGTAGGTGGCGACATGACCCTTTCATGTTGGCAGTCTTCCAGTTAGCTTATAGCAACACAAGTGGTAAACAGGCTGGCAGGAGGGAAGTAGATGGAATTGAGACAGGATTTGCACAATGGCTGAAGGAATGTACGACAACACTGCAGCACAGCTTATTTGGTACCTAGTTTCCTGTCACATGGTGTTACGCGTGTTGCTTTGTGACAATGGTCTTGTCACTTCTGGAATGCAAACATCTTACCGGTTTAGTTCGACTGACCCTTTTACATGTAGAAAATAATCTAATCGCTGCTGCGTTATTTGGGTGCTTCAGCTCGATTAGAAGCAGTTGGCCTAACTACTACTGTTTAAATGCAATTTAAAAAGAAACGACATGAGTCATTTTGGGGCAATAATTTGGTTTTCTGATGTGCAAGTAAACACACTGACCGACTCTGATATTGTATCCTGCTTAGCGGTGTCTGGCAGCACTGCTTGTGTGTGTGTGTGTGTGTGTGTGTGTGTGTGTGTGTGTGTGTGTGTGTGTGTGTGTGTGTGTGTGTGTGTGTGTGTGTGTGTGTGTGTGTGTGCGTATGTGTGTGTGTGTGTGTGTGTGTGCGTGTGTGCGTGCGTGCGTGCTCCTCACAGCAGTGAGACAGAAGAAAATGGCTTCAGTCAGAGGCTTGTTAACCCCACAGCATGTAGGATGATAATGAATTGCGGGTACGGGAAGCCCCCGCTGGCTGATTCTATCCACAATTCAGAGACTCCCCCTAATGGTAGGCGTGATTTTGAGCTGGCCAATCAGTTGGCAGTGGCTGCGTTAGACCAGTTCAGCTCCAGGGAAACTGCACTGGGAAGAGGGCTGAAAAGACATCCGGTTGCGTGCGGGGAAAATCCAAGGCTACCCAAATGAGAACACTTCAAACCCCGGTCCAGGCGGAGTAGAGCCAATGCTAGTGTGTAAGTGCCATATGGTTGTCTCTGAAATTGTCCTTCCAATTGGACAGTGCTAGGACCAGTCAGAGCACCAAACAATGTGACAATTCAAAAAGATGGAAATCAGTCACCTGCAGGGTGTGTGTGTGTGTGTGTGTGTTTGTGTGTGTGTGTGTGTGTGTGTTGGGGTGGGGGGTGGGGGGGGGGGATATGTGTCCAGATGCATGTGTCTCACTCTAATAAAAATGGTCAGCTTTGCAACTGTGTAGTCTGCCATACACCATCGAAGTAGAAGTACATTTATCTTCTAATGTCCCAAAGAAAAGCCCAAGTCTGAGTCGTTCAAAGTTGATGCTAAAGCCGTTTGAAACAAGTGTTGATATCTTTGTTTCATTCCACCACAGCTCTGCCACAATGGTGCTAAGCTCTTCCAACGTCTCTACAAACATAGAGCGCTGTGATTGTCCTGGCCTAAACTTAGCTGAGCCGATGCTAGACCTGCCGAGGCTACAATAGGGCGTGGCTAGACCGACCTGCAGAGCAGTTTAGCTAGATTTCTAGGCTAGCATTCACTTGACCTGTTTGACAACAGAAGACATCAGATCTTGTCTGTTGCTGACATAGATCTGTGCTCTAAATGTCGTTTATCAGTCTAAGGGTGGATATTTGAGATATGTCCTTGTGATGTTGTAAACCTGCCTGTGGGTGTGTCCTCATTATTCTCTTACCTTCACCATGAACTCTTCACTAAGGCTACAGAGGAGAAGGAGGAGATGGAGGAGCTGCAGGCGTACAACCGGCGGCTGCTGCACAACATCCTGCCCAAAGACGTGGCCGCTCACTTCCTGCAGCAAGAACGGCGCAACGATGAGCTTTACTACCAGTCCTGTGAGTGCGTCGCTGTTATGTTCGCTTCCATCAGCAACTTCTCAGAGTTCTACGTGGAGCTGGAGGCCAACAACGAGGGAGTGGAGTGTCTGAGGCTGCTCAATGAAATCATTGCTGATTTTGATGAGGTGAGCCGAGTCTGTTTGGAGGCTAAACGGGTCTGAGTAGAGAATTCTATCCGTCAACAGTCTGATCCCCTGAAATCCACCAGATTATCGTTTTATTTCACTGCAGTGACAATTTTTGCTTCATGAAAATCAAGACAGGAACTGAAACAGTTGACTGATTAACCCTACCTCCTTCTGTCCTTAGATCATCAGTGAAGATCAGTTCCGTCAGCTGGAGAAGATCAAGACCATCGGCTCCACCTACATGGCAGCTTCTGGCCTCAACGACTCGACCTATGACAAAGCTGGACGCTCCCACATTCGCGCTCTGGCTGATTACGCCATGAGGATGATGGACCAGATGAAATACATCAATGAGCACTCCTTTAACAACTTCAAGATGAAAATAGGTGTGCAGAAGGAGGTGTTACTACTCAGCACACCCAACCAGGCAGACAAATGTCCTGATGGGGTCTTATTAATCTGTCATATTTGGGTTCTTCACATAATTTATTTTGAAATTCTGATTGTAGGTCTGAACATCGGCCCAGTAGTTGCTGGGGTTATCGGAGCCCGGAAGCCTCAGTATGACATCTGGGGCAACACAGTAAACGTAGCGAGTCGCATGGACAGCACAGGTGTCCCAGAGAGGATTCAGGTAATAGATGCAAGAGGATCTTTACATCAAACACACACACACACACACACACACACACACACACACACACACACACACACACACACTCACACACACACACACACACACACACACACACACACACACACACACACACACACACACACACACACACACACACCAGTTGGTCTAGCTATGGGATCAGGGTTCACCAGCTGAGAAGGCACCCTCAGCACAGGGAGGAGACCTTTGTGGGATGCTCTAGTGCTGAGAGAGGCAGCCCCTTCTCCCCCAGGACACCATCAGAGACAGACTGATGTTAAGCTAAAGGTCCAAGAATTAGACTGTTGAGGACATCTGGACAAAAGTCCTTTTCTCTGATGAATCTCTGTTTAGATGTCTGGAGGAGATAAGGTGAGCACACCCATCAGTTCTGTCTTCTGCCAACAGTAAAGCTGTGTGTGTGTGTGTGTGTGTGTGCGTGCGTGCGTGCGTGCGTGCGTGCGTACGTGCGTGCATGCGTGTGTGTGTGTGTGTGCTTGTTTAGCTATCCTACTTAGGACCCAAACTGGCATATTCCCTAATCTTCTGAAGACTGATGGGTCTCATTAGGACCAAAAACTGGTCCTAATACAGTGGGTGGTGAGGTTTAGAGGTAAGATGTGACCTGAATTGATAGGGTAGGGTTTGGGTTTGGGTTAGGCATAAATAAATGGAAGTCAATACGAAGTCTTAATATGGATAGAATCACAAACACACACACATGCGTGCATGAGTGTGTGCGTGCGTGCGTGCGTGTGTGTGTGTGTGTGTGTGTGTGTTAGGGGTGGGGTGGAGGGGATGTTCAACTTACTCACAGAAATTGACTCACTCACTCAGACAGCCACGAACAATGAATAGTACCTAAACAGCATCCCAGAGGAACTCGTCCAACCACCCAACAACATTTTAGTGATGAAGAAGGGATAAAATCACAACAACTGAGTGACTTTGTCAGTAAAACATCAAAATTTGGGGACCATCATCAGATATTTGCCTTAAGTTAACCCCGTTCAGCACATTTTTAATTGTGAAAAGATTGGTGGACAAACAAAATCAGATAATTCTAACAAAGTTCAAACAGTGATGATGAAGACAGGGCTGCAATCACTAGGATCTGGACCAGAGGTGCAATCACTAGGATCTGGACCAGAGGTGCAATCACTAGGATCTGGACCAGAGGTGAACTGAGCCTGCTGGGGTTAACTACAGAGGGTTAGAAAAAGAATGACCAACACTGTAAATATTAACTTGTTGCATTGCACTTGTTCATTAAAGGCTCTGAAATACATGGAATTCTGGTAATTCTCCTGAATAACTATAAAAAACATCTAACTAAAAGATTGAAAACTCAGAAGCAGCAGACTTTGTGAAACCCAAAATGTGTCATTCTCAATATTTTAGATCACAGCTGGAATAACGTTGTTTTTCGGAAGTTGAAGAGAACTTTGTGTCCACAGGTGACAACAGATCTTTACCAGGTGCTGAACTCCTACAACTACACACTGGAATACAGAGGCATCGTCACAGTCAAGGGCAAAGGAGAGATGATGACGTATTTTCTCACCAGTGGACCACCGAGCAGTTAACCTTTAATAAGTGACAATCAGACACAAGGGAGGTTTCATTTAATGAGCTGGCTAACAGACCTCTGAAAGCTTAAAGCAGACTGAAGTGATTCTCGTCGCAGCCGTGAACCCTCCTCAAACCTGACGGTCTTTAGAGGAACCATGCTTAAAGCTCGGCAGGAGCAGAACACGTAGGCTTCATTCTGCCTTTTAGACCAAAGATGTCCACAAAATGCAAAGATGGATTGGAGCAGCTGGGACCTGTTAGAAACTCTGAGCTTCACACTGGCGGGTTTTCTCCTTCTGATGATAAACGTGGGAAAACTCCAGAAGGTTTTATGTCTATTAAGATTTTTATGAGCTAATTGTAAACCACTGGTCAATGTTGTGATGCAGGTCCAGATGTCTCGTGTGGACACTAAGCCAGCACTGCAGCAATATTTGTCCCCTCATCAAACCGTAATGAACAGGCTTGTAGAGTCTTCTGGTACGGGTTGTGCTGTTGGTGGGACGGCACCGACCTCACACACAGAAACACACACCCACAACTCAGAGAGGATGTCCAGTTTTTTCTAACCTGAGGGAAAAAAATCAAAGAACATTTTTGCATTTTGACTTCAGAAAAGCAACGCTATGAGATATTTTAAGATTCTATATTTTCTATATTCAGAGCTATCTATGAGATACAGATGAGTATCTCAGTTCAAGTCTTCACTGATGTTGCCTGATCTGAACATCCCGCCACAGACTTTTTTTTGTTAGCAACCACAAATCACCACCCGAGTATTTTTAACTGCAGGAAGCAGAGTTTTTTGCTGATAAGAGGCCACTGATGAACTCACGGTAACAACGATGCATCTCACTGACTGAAGGACTGAAACCCATCAGCCTTGGTGCTCAGAAGCCATGTTGCACTCCAGCGCTTTCAGCCGTCCACCTCATGCACTCCTCCACAGGCCCCCTCATCTCCGATGGTACGACCCGATGAATGTCCGGCGATCTCCGACGAGGCCTTCGATACAGACTCCAACAGTGATGATGAAAATGTGGAAATGTGCACTTTTATCTGCTGTTATTTTTCTTTTCTTCATAAAAGAAGTATGGCATCATGACTCAGCATGTTGTTACACAAACACGACCCGACCTTTTGGGACTGCAGCTATGTTACAGCTGGTTTAGTGACATTTAGTCACAGATTTACAGTAATACCGGTACTAGTTTTCCCACAAGGTTTCACAGATGAACCAACGTTGTCTGATATTTCTTCTTTCTGTGAGCAAGTCTCATGAAGGGACCGTAGTTGGAACAATTTTGGTGGACAAATGAAAACAAAGATGTACTCCGCTTGCCGTTCAAGTACGGTCAAAGGTTTCCATTTCTTCATGAGCATGGATGTCAATAATGTTGGAGTCTCCGTGTGTTTGTATGCATCCAACAGCTTCTGGCTGATAACTAGGGATTGTGGTTTTCTGCACAGACTCGTCTTTTACACATAATCAAGACATTTTCAACTGGTTTGAGGTTTGGAATGTTGGGATGGTCGTTCTTGTTATTCAGTTTTAGCATCAATACCCTAGCATGACACTACCACCGCCGTGCTTAACAGTTGAAACAATAAAAGCCTCACTTAGAGTCCAAACAGGTCAGTCTTCACTATTGATTGTTACTGAACATCCAAACCTGTTTCAGTTCAGTTGATTCATAAGAGCCGTTACTTTACAAAGTAAACATTCCAATTGAACCTTGTTCCCTCATACTAAGCAAGCATTTAGCGACAGTGGAGAGGGAAACTCCCCTTTAAAGGTTGAATATGGAACACTGGCGAACTCTGGTGTTCAGAGGTGGTATTGCAAGAACAGCACTAGTTTTCCAGCCGCTGGGATGTTGGTTCACTGCCGAGACGTTCCAGCACCATGTTCAGAGACAAATCATACAGGATAATGGCTAATTTCTACTGATAAGTTCATTATACAACAGTATTTACTGTTAGAACATCTTCTGGGCTCAGAATCAGCTGCTTGACTTGTCAAGTCTGCCATTTTACACAGTCCCAGCCTCGCCTTGCTAAGTGGACTTTTTAGCGCAACTGAGCCCTCTAGTGGCTGTTAGATGTAAACATAAACACAGTGTTGTGTCCAACAAAATAAAAATTTGATTATTTATCTTATTTAAATATAGCTTTTAAAAGAGAAACTGTACATTCATCCTGCACACCTCTGAATGCCCAACAGAGGTATATATATTTTTTCAAATATAGCTTTTTTTTTAAATGTTCCATATTCTAACTTTTAACAGGTGGGGTACAGAAGCCGGTCAAATAATTTTTACACTACAAAGAGAGTCTTCCAGCTCCAGTGAAACACGATCACTAACAAGAAGTTAAAAAGCCTTGACCCGATCAGGTTAAGACCCAGAACCTTCAGCCACACTTTTTAAAATCTACAGATGATCGTCTCTCTAAACTTTAGCTTGTCGGAATAAGAAAATTCACAACAGATAAAACTTAAAAGCCCAATTGATGTTTCGTAAAGCTCATTAACAGTTTGTCCTCAAATATTCCTGGCCTGAGAAAAAGGAAAGTTCAAATTGGTGAATAAAAGCACGAAATGAATGACGTTCATGCTCGTGTGAGTGGATGCACACGTCTGACTAAACCCCTGTGTTTTGTTCCAGAGCGCTAGAATGGTAAATGCCCTGTGTTTGATATGGCGCCTTCTAGAGTCCTGGAACCCCCCAAGGCGCTTTACAACACAATCAGTCATTCACCCATTCACACACACATTCACACGCTGAATGCAGAAGAAATCTACATTCATGATAAATCATTTACAGCCTGAGATTCTATTGAAATGCTGGCTGTAATTCTCGATTTGTAGTTAGTAAATGTTGACCTGCGGTGATTAAATGATAGAGCATTCAGAGCAGGAGTAGCTGATGCCCACAGAGAAGGACTGAAGTTTTAATCCACCGCCTGTCTTACGAGTCAGTTTTAGGTGAAACGCGGTTTTAATTCATGTAAAATGACATTTAATCACAAAAAGCACAGTGCCATCATTTGGAGACATGTTCATACAACTAGCTGAATTTAAAGGAGTGCAATGATGAAAAGTAAATACCGGTAGGCTTTGTGTTAACATGTTTCATAAAATCAGGGTATCTGCAGGTTTAAGGGAGCCAAATTTAAGACTTTTTAAGACCTTTTTTAAGGCCACTTTGACCAAATTTAAGCTATTTTTTTAAATTAAATTTAAGCTTTAATTTCCACCTATTACCTGGAACCGGTGCTAACCACGTCACGAACGTGGCATTAGCCATCCAGTTACCATTATTGTTGCACTTCCCCATGGCGCAAACTCCCACTAGCTTGCTCATCTAAAAATAGCCCCCCTTCACAACCAACTGAATGTGTACGGTTCCGCCAACATCACACACAAAACATGCTGAACACAAACTAGAAATTCATGAAAATTTTATAGAAGTAAAAGAATCTTGTTTATTGGGTCTTTGGTAATTTAAGACCTTTGGAAACTGTATTTAAGGATTATTTGTCATTTTTAAGGATTTTTAAGGCCTTAAATTTGGAAAAGCAAATTTAAGACTTTTTAAGGACCTGCAGATACCCTGTAAAATACTCGGATGTTTTATTTTCGGATTTTCTTATGGTATTTACCACTTTCTTTAAATTTCCACATTTTTAGGTGATTTTAAGTGTTTCTGTGTGAATCTTATAAATACCCATCATCTCACCCATCATACACAGATGTTTGGTTAAAAAGAGCTTATGTATGACAGGAACGATGAGCTAATGGCTAGTTTGGGTGCAGTTAAGACCAAAGCTTATTTCTGCCATCTGAAAATGGCCCAAATTTTCAAAATGTTTCATTCATTTAATAATTAAGAACTGCTGCAGGACGTGACCCCTGAGTGCATACGTGTGCTGCTGATAGTGATGTGTACAATATGACATCATGATGCCAAATTGAGAGGGGGTGTTTAGGTGTAAAAGAGTGTCTCGTGTATCAATATAAAATGTCTGTAGACTGGCTGACAGCAAAGATCTCTGCACGGAGGAAGCTATGGATAAAATCCTGTTTGTATGTTTTACACCAAAATGGTTCATTTTCACAGATAATTTAACACAAAGTTGCTTCCTACATTTTGCTGCAGTCATAATGCGTCTAACATTCTTGGTTTAAAGTTCCTATAAAGTTCAGACACACCTAAAAAGGCTCAGGCTGATCAGGATTAGCGTTGGGTTTTGTAGTTTTCACACAAAAACTACATGTAGAAAAAAGTCAAATATTCTAGACGAGAACTAAGCAGAACGCCAGTGGAGGTTTTCTCATGAGATTTGCTCACCAGAAAGAGGAAAAATGCAGATTTGCACCAGCTTGTCCAATAAGATGTTGGGTTAAATTTCTGTCAAGTAAAAAAAAAAAGAGTAGATTCATTTTATTAAGGTTTTTGTCATGCTGTCATAGCCTACTCCTCTACAACCGTCATTTCCTCACTAACACTGAGAATGTTGCCCACTTTGACTCATCAAATCTTATGAAGAATTATGACCTCATGAACATTTTTACTGTTTATTAGGAGAGAAGGTGTTATTAAAGGACATAGTGTTGAAGAGGAAATCAGAGACCAGCTTGTTTATGGTTGTTCGAGAAGCTCACCTGCTTTTTAGTTCTGCAGTTACAAAACAATCATCTGGAAACCATCTAAATGGAGAAATACGCCAATTATTTTGTTGTCTTGCTGAAGACAAATGTTCTTTTTTTTACAGTGAAATAAACTGCTGAGATTTTTCAAATGTTCATGATATTATTTGACTATTTTATGCATTTAGTGTTAAAGCAGCAATCCAGAGCTTCTCACCTTTAAAGTGACAGTGTGTAGTCGTCGTCGTCCTCCTCCGCTTATCCGGGTCCGGGTCGCGGGGGCAGCATCCCAACTAGGAAGCTCCAGACCGTCCTCTCCCGGCCACCTCCACCAGCTTCTCCGGCAGGACCCCAAGGCGTTCCCGGACCAGATTGGAGATGTAACCTCTCCAACGTGTCCTGGGTCGACCCGGGGGCCTCCTGCCGGCAGGACATGCCCGAAACACCTCCCCAGGGAGGCGTCCAGGAGGCATCCTGACCAGATGCCCAAACCACCTCAACTTACTCCTTTCGATCCGGAGGAGCAGCGGTTCTACTCCGAGTCCCTCCCGAATGTCCGAGCTCCTCACCCTATCTCTAAGGCTGAGCCCGGCCACCCTACGGAGGAAATTCATTTCGGCCGCTTGTATCCGCGATCTCGTTCATTCGGTCATTACCCAAAGCTCATGACCATAGGTGAGGATTGGGACGTAGATCGACCGGTAAATCGAGAGCCTGGCATTCTGGCTCAGCTCCCTCTTCACCACGACAGATCGGCTCAGCGTCCGCATCACTGCAGACGCCGAACCAATCCGCCTGTCGATCTCCCGATCCCTCCTACCCTCACTCGTGAACAAGACCCCAAGATACTTAAACTCCTCCACTTGAGGTAGGACCTCTCGCCCGACCCGGAGTAGGCGAGCCACTCTTTTCCGGTCGAGAACCATGGTCTCAGATTTGGAGGTGCTGATCCTCATCCCAGCCGCTTCACACTCGGCCGCGAACCTACCCAGCAAGAGCTGAAGGTCAGAGCTGGATGAAGCTAGGAGGACCACATCATCCGCAAAAAGCAGAGACGAGATTCTCCTACCACCAAACTCGACACACTCCACACCACGGCTGCGCCTAGAAATTCTGTCCATAAAGGTAATGAACAGAACCGGTGACAAAGGGCAGCCCTGGCGGAGTCCAACCCTCACCGGGAACAGGTCCGACTTACTACCGGCTATGCGGACCAAACTCACGCTCCTCTGGTAAAGTGGCTGAATGGTCCTTAACAGAAAACAGTGTGTAGTTTTCCTGGCAATAGGGGGCAGTAGACACCTAAATTGTTGCAAGCAAGCAGTATTTTTGCGCTGGAGTAAGACCTTACCAACGGATGCTCATTAGGGTCAAAAAGCCCTGGGGAAGGCAAACTTCAGCAAAATAACGAGCACATCAGACTCGCTTTCATCACTGGCAACAAGTGGAGAGGTTTTTGTGTAAAACAACATTTAAATATGGTGAAAGTTTTGTAACCGTTTGTTACAAACCAGTAAATGCATTTTGTCCACATGGGCACCCGCAGAAGGAAACATGGCATCTAAAATGGTCTCGTCCAGATACTTAGGGGTGGTTCTCAATGTCAAGGTGCCTGGCCTCACAAGGTGATGTCTTGCGAGGACACTGTCCTTCCTTGGTCAAAGTAAACAGTTAAATGAAACAGACTTGCATCACGTGACCGCGGCTTCTGTCATGAAGTTAAATGAAATGCATGAGCCAGACAGGAAGTGCGACGTGTTTTGTTTTATTACTAACAAACTAGAGGCGGTTCATGGATAAGAGCCGTTGCTTTCAGCAGTAATCGCTGAAGTAGGGGGAGGTACATAGGGTGAGATACGTTTTACACCACTGGGTGGCGCCCTCTGAGAAAAACGTAGGATTTTGGCTATAATGAAACATTTCTTTGGTTTTTGCTTATTTTTTACAAACCTCAAGCTCAAAGTTAACCTGATTAAATATAAAGTGTGGTTTTTGAAAGCTTTCCAAACAAAAACGCTCTATAAGGAAAAGTCATTAAAGGGGCATTATGGAAGTTTGACAACCAAAACATGTATAGAAATAATAAATGTCTTCTTCATACATTCTCCTGCAATGCCCTGGTCCTGTAGAATGAGCCCTGGCATTTTTACTGTGATTGCCTGTTTTTCTGTAAAATCACAGAAAAAGAGAGCTGCTCGGGTCGAGCAGGCTGCTTCATGCGCATTCACGCTCAGGCATAGCGCGTAGCATTTGCTATCAGTAGCTTTAGCAGCAGAGAGAGAGGCAGTTCCACTATGTCGCTGTTCCTAATGCCTAGTGACAAAGCTAGCTACATTTCTGAGGACCCTTAGCTACTTTCTGTAGAACTTTTTTCTAGATATTTCCTGCAAATTAGCAACAAAATAGCCATTTTCGCTCCGTTTCAGCTGTCATCAAGGATATAAAAGTTACAGATACAAAGGACTCCACCAGCGCTTTAGCTCACCTGGCAAGACAATGGACTCCCGTGCAGAAGACCTGGGTTTGATTCTGGCTGTGAACATAGTTTATAAAGAGTTTCTTTTACATTAATGATACATTTTTTTACAGTGAGATGCCCAAATTTTTATTTGAGACTCGCCGAACGGCATTTAATTCACAGATAAAAAAGATGCGGGTTCAACTTTCATTTTGGAACAATTTTTCAAGCAAGGGAAGGGAATGATCTGAGCATGCAGGAGGACTGACCCATCATAAACCTTTGTCGGCTGTGCTGAAGAGAAAGGTACAGAACCAAATTATTTAATTAATTAGCTGCGTGTTCTCCTGTCCTCTGTCCTCCGGGCCACACACACACACACACACACACACACACACACACACACACACACACACACACACACACACACACACACACACACACACACACACACACACACACACTGGACTGTCTCAGCTGTTATTTTCGTTAAGGAGTGTGCACGTACAGCAAGCGCGCCTCGTGCACGAGCCTACTATTGAAGCTGCCGTTACGCTTTTGGCCTGAGGGGGCAATCGCAAGCATAAAATTCAAAACTCCGTAAAGTCCCTTTAAACCTCGCCTGGTTGGAACAACTTGGGAGGTGAAAACTGTAATAAAGTATTTGTAACATTTGGGCATGACATGTAGCTTTTTGAGATCTTTCATCCTACTTAATGTTGTCTGACAGGTTCAAGTGATTCAATCTACAGGTCTGCTTAATCAGGTCTGGGCGAGGCTGGTGCAACTAAACTCACGAGGTTAATCACAGTAAATTCATCATTTAGCAATGGGGATAATTAGTTTTTCCACACAGGACCAGGTTGGTTTGGACAGCTTTGTTCTGTTAATGAATAAAAACATAGAAAAACATCACTTTGCGTTTACTCCGGTCTAAAACAGTTATGTGACAAAACCAACGAAATCTGAGGGTTTTCTGCCCCTGCTGCGGCTCTCTAATGGACCCAGATTTCATTTGTACCTCGGAATAGCAAAGCTCCAGACAAAACCAGATTCAGACATTTTTAGAAGTTGTATGTTCACACTGCTCACCAACAGATGGCAGTAGTGCTTCATCACTAGGATCCTAATCTGTCAGTCATTATTAATAATACCCTTGTTTAAATGTAACTCCCACAGCATCCTGCTAATGCACGCATGTAAGAAAGTGGTGCCGTTGTTGCGATTTAGCCTTGCTGCAGGCATTTACATAAAGAACTAAATCCAACCAGGTCAAGCTGCTGGTTAACATAACCTCTCCACACCTGAACACTCCTGCTGGGAAAGAACAAGTGAAGCGACAGGTGGGAAAACCATTCTGCCTGTGAAAATAACATCAGATTGTTGCTCTGGTGCTGAGTTCTGCTTCTGAACGTCACTCCAAAGGAAATGTGCTCAGGCTGGGGGAGTGACACATCAGAATCAGGCTCCTCCGCCTCTCAGGAAATATTTAGATATACATGTAAATGTAAAAGATTGAATTTTGAATGTATTGCCAAACATTTATAGCCAACCTTCTGCACACCCCCGACCTGAAGGAGTGTGTTGAATAATTTTGAGTCCGTAAATTCAATTCAGATCCTGAATAAACCCATGAGGTCACATGGGTGTGGCACTGATGCAGGAAAGCCAAGAACACCGATTAATGACATCAGAATGATCCCCAGACATGTAGTGTAGCTGCATGAGTCTAACAGATGTTAAACGATGCATAAACAATAAACAAAGGACAAAGTTTCAACCACAAAAGCTGCTGTCAGGAGCTTTTCAGGTGAGCAGTGATATTAAATGACTGCAGCCTGCTGACATCCATCAGTCAGGAAACGGGTCAAAGTTCATTTTTCACGCAGAAAAAATGTCCTCAGAGGGGATCAGTGGGACAAAATGTCCCGATGAATCCTCACTCATCATCGTCACCTCATTTCTCTCTGGCGATGAGATGCGGAGGTTAGGGACTTGTCTCCAGTCCAACACAGGGACACACAGAGATAAACAACAACACACTCTCACCAAGGGACAATTTAGTCTCCATGTGTTTGGTCTGTGGGAGGAATCAAGGGAAATTATCTTTTTTTTTCTTTTTTTTTTGCCATTTTTGGGGTGTTTATGATGATACAGTAGACAGTATGAGTACAGTAACATCAAGAGATAATACATAAAACCCTTATTTGGTAAATTTTAGCCTCCATGAAAATCTGAGCGATTCAATCACTTTTTGGCAAGTAAAATGCCATTTTAGTTGTGTACAATTAAATCATCAATAAAGAATTTTAAGATATTTTGAGGCATTTCTTATAGGTAAACAGGAGGGTGTAGTCACTATTTGGCAAGTGACAATCTTAATTTTATGTGCTGAAGTGCTTTTATCTTGTTACTTTTAAATAGAGCAAAGTAATGTATAGATAGCAACCTACACAGTGTCATTAAAGCCAAAGCTTGATCAGTTTAAATACTATTTTTCAAGTAAAAATGTACCCCAAACTAGTTAACTGTGGCTCCATGTCAAGTGGACTAAAGAAAGGAAGGGGAAAAAATCAAATTGCTGGAGAATCGTTTATTTCCATTTATACAACGTTTACATTCAATACAGGGTGCCATTTTACATTGTTTATTTATTTTTTAGTACCAAGGCTGTAACATAAAGATAGCCAGTTCTTACCACAAACCATCTTTCCGTCGCAAATATTGCAAAAAGGATTAATATATCATTGTGAACGTTTAAGACAAATAGCAACTTAAAACAACTTCCGAACTGGAAAAACTAATATCCGCGATAAACATCTGTTTAAGTACCGGAAGAGGTTATCCCTGCTTTCTCAGTGTCCATATTGCTAGATACAGAGGCGGTTTTACCATTAGGCATAGGTAGGCGGCCGCCTGGGGCCCCCTTGTGTTGGGGGCCCCCCTAAAGGGGCCCCCCTAGCCCTGACCGCCGGCACCCCTCTGTTAATGCCACAATATTCTTATTACCAACCAGTGGCCGCAGACGGGATTGGACATGCTTCTCATTACCATAATTCCTGAATCGTTCAAGATATCATTAAAATTCCAAAAGTGCTGAAAATATTAAAAATGGGGCTTTTCGTGCATATACAATACATTACGGTAGCCACTGGGATTCCCTGTCTTAAGCGCAACGAATCACAACACAGATTCAGAGATGTGCTGAGTTTGTCATCCAAAATGCTCCATTTTATAACTTTTGAATGCCTGATCAGATTCACAGAATTCCAACAGTTCCTAAAAGTACATAAAAGCAGCTTTCCAATGATCTATAGCCTGAAGCAATCTGAGTTAGGGAAAATATCGCTACGAGGGGAAATCCTGCTGTACAGCCTGATTGAAACGGAGCACAGTGCCACGATGAAAGCGGATAACGGAACAGGGAAGCTAATTAGCATAAAAACAGCATGAAATTATGGAAATGCCTCAAAGAAAATCAACACGATCCATTAGGTATCCCAGAAGGCTTATATCTGAAGACAGTGACCACGAAGAATGACAGATCTCCAGTGAACCAGGATATGAACGTTTGTTCAGTCTTTTTTTTTTGAACAACCCTCAACTATTTGCTAATTGTAAGATTCAACTTCATTCCAGCATTATTTATCTTTTTACAATAAATATTTATTTTTGCTAAAACAAAAGTTTTTGGTATTAAAACAAAAGTTTTTGGTATAGCAGTGCACGGTGTGCCAGAGAAGCATCCAATGGCGGTGTGAGGTGTGCAGGACTCTGCCTGCAGCTGGAGAGAAACAGCTTCAATGTCTACCACATCAAATAAAAACGTCTGACAGTTTACAAAAATAAGTGGTCTTAAAAATTGCTAAAAAAAAAGATACCAAGGTTCAAACTTTTTTAAGAATAGATGCATTACAGTTCAAAGTTTAAATTGTTTGCCCAGTAATTTTGAAGTTCCTGTTCAGTAATAAATGTAAAAAATTCTAATCCGTTTCTTTGCTTTTTTCACTTTTAAGCTGATTTTTTAAAGGCTTTAATAGAAATAAATTCTAAATACAAACCATACACTGAAAGCTGAGGTTGTTCTGAAAAAAGGAGAAGAGTTACACACACCTTGCACTTTTTATTACAATTTTACAGCCATAAGATTAAAACAATACCAGGCAGCCCTGTTATAATTATGGTCATAAGAGGGTTATTAAGACGGCGATGCACAAACTGGAAGTGATTGGTAGTCATTCCACTCCAATCCAGTTGGTGGTGGTAATGCACCAAATTGTTGTTTGCCAAGTGCCATAAGACCACAAATAAGAAGAAGAAGAAGAGAGGCGGGAGCGTTCGTAACAAACTCAAAGCGATAAGTCAAAACATGAACCATGAAATGGGAGTTATACTTGTGTCTCCAATAAGAGAAAGAAGCAGCATGCTTCATAAAAGCTTTTATTTTCACTTCTGAAAGTGACATCATTTTTCGATGTAAACATCAAAAGGAAGCAGAAAGGAAAGACAATGGAAAATGTTTCAAGGGAGGAAAACATAGACCAAAATGGAAAATAGAAAAAAAAATAACTAAGGCTAAAGCACAGGAGCACTGACAGGAAGAAGAAAGCACTCAAAGGGAGAGAAAAGCAGGAAAAAAGAGGAGGACTAATAAAAAGTGAAAATAACTCATGTCAGAAGAGGGGAGAGTTTTGCAAATCCAGTTAAAGGTAAGATTGTCGAAAATTTAGTGTAAGGGGCCCCATGTCTGCGTTTGCCTTGGGCCCCCAAATTGCTAAATCCACCCCTGGCTAGATGTGCTGAGTTTTAAGGTGAAATCCTGGGGAATTTCGTCTAGGAAAGCAATTACCCTAACCGTGCGCAATCCCGCTGTGGCTACTCATTTTTTGGCAGCCAGTCGATTTATGGCACAACACCTGTTCTGATGGTGAATGATGATTTATTGAGCCGTCCATATCATCAACCAACCAACCAACCAACCAACCAACCAACGTAAGAGCTAGGCATAAACAAAAAATAAATAAATCATAAAATAAACCATAATGCATAACTGATTACATTGGTAGCCTTTATCACAACTAATACAATCATATAGGTACCCATTCACGTTCCGTTTTCATAACAACATTCTGTATAGTTACAAACCTTGTTCCCCTTATCAACTGAAGCTAGACAGAAGTGTTCTTCAAACTTTCTTTGTCTTCTTCTCAGTGAACCGTTAATAGCCTATCCTTTGCTCCGCCTTTACTTCTAACAGATTTACGTTCGCGTCTTCTGTGTTGCGCCTCCCTACTTGGCTATGGTTGCTATGACGCTATATATATATATATAAAGACCTTCTCTCGTGTTTGTCTTAAAACCTTCACCAATAACACATTTTGGACCAAAAACAACTATTGGACCATCCGGTTGCCGGTCTCACCAAACCGCCTCACTTCACTGGGTCCTCCATTCATCACACACTCACGTATTAAGCAGCACAACACCACTGACGTGAGCAGCCAGCTGCTACCACTTCACCTTTAGGACAAACTACCAGAGTCCCAAAAGGCTGTTGAAGACACGGACAACAAAAGATGTTTGGACCTAGGAAACAGCGACTCTCGTTTCCTCTGGCATTGCTGGTTTCTGCTTCCGGTGGGTGCAGATCCATGGAAGATACCAAAGGGCAGGGACCCGTGTTTGCGTTAAAAACCTAGCTTGTCCGTAGATTTGCTATAAAAGCTTAAATTCATTCAGACAAAACAACGGGAGGTCAGATTTAATGATTCAACCTGCTAACAGATGCTGCTGCTGCATTAATCCTACTGATTCCCTTAGATGAAAAAGATCGGAAATTAATTTACTGTTCAGTTAGAAAAAAAAAGACTCAATAAGAAACATCTCCTGTACAAATTCATTTATTTATTCATTATTGTAGCACTGGCTTGTTTAGAAATCTGGGTTCAACACAGATAAATCCTGATATTTGACTCCATTCTCGCCCAGATTAGCACCTCTTGTAGCTGATTTGAAAATCTCCACGATTGTTTGTTTAAATCTGGAACCTCAAACAGAAAGTTTGGTGAATAAGTTAGCAAAATGCTCCGTCAGCACCTCGGCTGTGCAAAACAACCCAAAAATCTTTAAATCATCTCAGAAAGGTGGAGTAGACGCTTAAGCATCCGTCTCATCAGCTCCATAAATGTCTCAGGCTTGGTGCGTCTCCTGCTTTAGGCTTGGTTCCTGCCCACTTTGTCCCGGGAACTGTCGCGCTTCCCACTCCACAAGTCCTTTAGTTGACTTCGTCAGACGTTGTAGTCCGGTGCTTTGCCCAGAGGTTGCCTCAGTCTTATCTGCAGTGTTGTGAAGGCCCCCACAGCCACATGGAAGAGAATCTGCCAAATGTTCCTCAGTTCATACAGATACATGTTGGACAGGCAGATGAGTGCAAATGCCAGGAAGGACTTACTGTTCCTCCAGACAGAGAAGTAGAGGAACAGGTAGCACTGAGTGGAAAACAGCAAGAACATAACAATTAAAATCTGCACAAACCGCCTATTGACCCAGACAGAAATCCCATCAGATGGCTCGGTGTTCCTCATCCCTCTGCTAATTTTGCAGCGTTCCTTTTAGCACCAGGAGCTGCACAATAGGAGCTGGAGGGAATGCTTTATAGAGGAGGAATTGGCCCGAGAAGCTCTGAGCTCCAGAGAATGTTTGTCTAAGTGACAAGCTGCTGAGCTGTAAAGAGCAGGGCTGTTCGTCAGCCCTCACCTCGCACCATCACTTACCTGATACAGACAGGCCGCCGTGCCCAGGAAGAAGGCAATCACATAATTAAAGTCTTCGTCATCATTCTGGACCAAAAAGACAGAGGCACAGAGAAAACGGCATTAGGTTCCTTTCACACAAGCCATTTATGTCCAGACGAGCCATGACAGGTTCCTCTCAACTCACAGAAATGATACACATGTAGCAGGATTAGGCTGGATGATGGAAGGACTCAACAGCAGAGAGAGGCAAAACATGATCTAGATCTGACTTTGTGTGTTTTATGGGTAACCAGAAGAAAAACAACAGCCATATTGAGTCTCATGTTCCATGGAGACAGCTCCTAGATGCTCTTCCTCACCTCCCAACAGTCCAGTCTATCAAGGTTAGCTGTGACTCAAGTGTGTTAAAATGTCCCGTGTCCTGACCTGTAGGATGCTCTCTATGGCGTGGACTCCTCGCAGCAGGTTCAGCCCTCCACAGAGGACAGTGAGCACACAGGACACGACGCCTGGAAGTGTTGCTGGTTCCAACATCTGAGTGGGAGCTGGAAAAACACAACATAAAGGTGGTAAATGCTCTGGTATGCTACTTTTTACACTTCATGAGAAGCAAAATGCCATATTAAAAACCAATTACGGGCAAAACTAACGACATGCATCCTTAAAAAGACAGCTAACGATGAGCATAAGAACTTTTCACTTAATCGTTTAAATTCCAAGACATCCTGGCTCTGTAAAGAAGTGATATGTCACCGTTATCGGATTAGATAACTTCATCCCCCAGGACAAAATGATTTATGCTCTCAGAGAACAGAGACTGGTGATGTCAACAGGAAGGGACCAGAGCGGGGAGCAGATGCTCTGAGTGATGTCAGGAAAAAACGCAACAACTCAAAGTGACCTGAGGTGGAGCAACTTAGGTGTGACAAAGCATCAGGAAGGGTCTGCTTATGGGACAGGGGGGGTTGCTTTTGAATTTACATCAAAAGTCCCCACCGTTATTTTCCTAAGAAACGCACGAGAAGGCACAAACACATGTCTATATAAGGTCTCACAGGTCAGAGCACAAACCAAGCGTGAAGGACTTGTCCTCTGACCTCTGAGACAGGATTGTCTCCAGGCACAACTCTGGTTACAGTTAAAGTTCTGCTGCCTTGAATGCCCCACAGTGGCCTCCATCGTCCGTAACACCGTCTTAATTCAAACACATAACAATGTGACCTTGGTCACCGGGTTGCACGTAAGTGGGAGACGATGGAAACCACCAGGGGCCTCATTCGTCAAACATTCATAGTGTATGATCAGGGAGCGGAGGTTCTGGGCGTTCTCGTAGTTCCAAAATGGAATACGGACTGCTATCGGATTCGGGCAGCCGTCTGTCACTCTACAAAGGATCCCAAATCACAGCACAGCTCCAGAAGGATCTCCTTCCAGTGCATCCACGGAAACACATTCACTCCAGAGAGCATGCTGACAAATCTTTAAAGGGACATTATGGAAGTTTGACAGCCAAAACATGTATAGAAATAATAAATGTCTTCTTCATACATTCTCCTGCAATGCCCTGGTCCTGTAGAATGAGCCCTGGCATTTTTACTGTGATTGCATGTTTTTCTGTAAAATCACAGAAAAAGAGAGCTGCTCGGGTCGAGCAGGCTGCTTCATGCGCGTTCACGCTCAGGCATAGCCCGTAGCATTTGCTATCCGTAGCTTTAGCAGCAGAGAGAGAGGTAGTGCCAACTCAGCGACTTTGTCGCTGTTCCTAACGCCTAGTGACAAAGCTAGCTACATTTCTGAGGACCCTTAGCTACTTTTTGTAGAACTTTCTTCTAGATATTTTCTGCAAATTAGCAACAAAATAGCCATTTTCACTCCGAACCGTTCTTTAAACGTTGTTTCAGCTGTCATCAAGGATATAAATGTTACAGATACAAAGAACATCATTGGTGCTTTAGCTCACCTAGTTAGACGTCAGACTATCGTGCAGGAGATCCGGGTTCGATTCTGGATGTGAACATAGTTCATTTAGAGTTTCTTACATTAATGGTAAATTTTTTTACAGTAAGATGCCCAAATTTTTATTTGAGACTCGCTGAACAGCATTGAATTCACAGATAAAAAAGACGTGGGTTCAACTTTCATTTTGGAACAATTTTTCAAGCAAGGGAAGGGAATGATCTGAACATGCAGGAGGACTGACCCATCATAAACCTTTGTCAGCTGTGCTGAAGAGAAAGGTACAGAACCAAATTATTTAATTAATTAGCTGCGTGTTCTCCTGTCCTCTGTCCTCCGGGCCCCACCCACCCACACACCCACACACACACATACGGGACTGTCTCAGGTGTTATTTTCATTAACGAGTGTGCACGTACAGCATGCGTGCCTCGTGCATGAGCCTACTATTGAAGCTGCCGTTATGCTTTTGGCCTGAGGGGGCAATCGCAAGCATAAAAATTCAAAGTCCAAAAAGTCCCTTAAACTATTAAAACCACCAGCAGGGTGTAAAATTTCAAAATATAGTAGGCACAGACGGGCTACAAATTTTGGATCAATTTTATATGAATTGTTTAATTAATTATCTTATGTTGAAAGACAACTTTGACGTACATGAGTGAATGGTATTGGTTGCCGTCACCTGTTGTGATCAGCTCTCAGCTGTCTTAGGGTGGGCCCAGGCCCGGTAGGCCCACCCACAACGCAGAGGCTGCTGTGGCTCCCAGTGTTTTCTTTATTGTGGGAAACAGGTAATAATGGCTCTTTGACGGGAAAAGGTTGCCGACCCCGTTCCAGAAGAACAACCATCTCTCATGCCTGTATGGTAGAGAGGCAAGATGGAAGCCTCTCCTTAGCAAATGGCCCATGGCAGCTCATCTGGAGTTCAGCAATAGACACTTGAAGGACTGAGACCAGGAGAAACCATATTCTCTTGTCTGATTTTCCCCCAAAACTTCATCAACAAAGTGTTGATCTAAGGCTCAGGGTGAATTCTTGTGTAAACGTGGTTTCTAAGTTTGGTTTTATTTCTTTGAACATCTTAGGTGTTTTCTTGCTGTGTCTTTCTAAATCCATGCTTTCGTTCTTTTTTAAACACAGAAACAGTTTTGTTTACCTGTTAGTAGCTACAGTTTCGCCGACGGCTGCTTAAGAGAAAACCACATAATGGACTGGGACAACACACAGATCATAAACACCGAACAACAAAAATACAAAAGATGGATCAAGGAAGCAATCGAGATAAGGAGACGTGGATGTGGGACCATGAACAGGGACGACGGAGTTTACACGCTGGACCACGCATGGGACTGCATCGTCGGAGAGGGGAGAGCGGGCAGTAGAGGGCGACAACGTCCTCTGCTGCCCGCAGATAAACGGAGAAGGAAGTGACGCGCCACCATCAGCATCAGCCTGAAGAAGCCGGCAGCCGTCGGCGAAACTGTAGCTACTAACAGGTAAACAAAACTGTTTCTGTGTTTAAAAAAGAACGAAAGCATGGTTTTATTTCTATCCACTTTGGAAAAGGGCAGTGAGATAACATGATGTGATGTCTTCTGGATGCTCTGTAGGTTTATCTGATGTGCCTGACAGACTTCCTGTCTGATGTTTAAAACTCTTCTAACATGTGACATTTATCTTTACACACCTTAACTTGATTTTATGCGTTTTATGTATTTGACTTATTTTATGTTGTATGAATGCAGCCAACTTACATATCAATTTTAGTTATAAACGCACTTTGGCCCTACACTGGTTGTTTCACGTCCTTTATAAATAAAGTTGAATTGGGTAAGTGATGGGAGTGGAGATGGTTGCTGTGGTGCTTACATCCTTCACACTGGGCAGTGAGTAGTGTTGGGTACTGACAGGATGAGCAACAGAGCCTTTGGAGATAAACTGCTTATTTTAGGCAATAAAAAAAACCAGCTATCCTTTCTTTGAGTAGTTCTATTATTGGAAAACAGAAATTAGCCGTGATATTATGGCAAACCAGCTAATAATAAGTAGTTTTCTGTTTGCCACCAGACATGGACGCCATTAAACCTGCGTGGTGCAGCAGAGACGCTCAGGCGGCGAGTCGTAACCTGGAGTTACTGCAGCACCACGTCTTTCATCAGTGACTCTGAGCAGAACACGTTAAATAATTCAAACACTGTGACCATCATGTTTAAATCTAGAGATAATTAAGACTTCTGGTCTTCCAAGCAGAATGTTTGTTTGGGAAAATGAGTCAACACAGTCCAAGAGAGCTGCCACAACATAACTCAGGGTATCTGCAGGTTTAAGGGAGCCAAATTTAAGACTTTTTAAGACATTTTTTAAGGCCACTTGGACCAAATTTAAGCAATTTTTAAAATTAAATTTAAGCTATAATTTCCAGCTATTGCCTGGAAACGGTGCTAACCACGTCGCGAACGTGGGATTAACCATCCAGTTACCATTAAACTTGCACTTCCCCATGGCGCAAACTCCCACTAGCTTAACCAGCTAATGTGCTCATCTAAAATAGCCCCCTTTCACAACCAACTGGATGTATATGGTTCTGCTTACGCCAACATCGTACACAAAAAATGCTGAACACTAACTAGAAATTCACGAAAATTTTATAGAAATAAGAGAAATTTGTTTATTGGGTCTTTGGTAATTTAAGACCTTTGGAAACTGTATTTAAGGATTATTTGTCATTTTTAAGGATTTTTAGGGCCTTAAATTTGGAAAAGCTAATGTAAGACTTTTTAAGGACTCGCGGACACCCTGATAACTCCATCATTTCTAAACATAAGATGATCTCAGTTTAAAAATGAGATGTGCATTCCTTCTAGCAACAAAGGACTAAAATTAACTTCGGATGGCACCATCAAGTGTTGTAACATGAAGAGCAGGGATGTCTAGAACCTGCTCAAAGAGCTGTGCACACATTCGACAAACAGCAACCTCCACAAATGCTGATTATTAACTCATTCGCTGCCAGCATTTCTCACCGTTTTTACTGTTTTTAAGAGTTACAGAACGTTGCGTGTTAGAAAGATGTCAACGCCAAAACAACCAAAACAAAGTGGAGACTCACCTCTTACATCAGGAAGAGTTTGAGCGTTATCCGTTTTTTCATAATCGGTTGTTGAATTGCGATCAGCAGAAGCTTTTCTGGTTCGCGCCTCACTTTTTTTACAGCAGTGGCCCAAAACGATCTCCTAACACATGGATGTTCTGCTTCCTGATTACGTGACGTGTGACGTACGTGGATGAAGATCGGCTTCAGAGCTGTTTGTTCTCACGGTGCGGGGGCTCGTTCTGACGCCCACACAATAAAAAAAATGCAAATGACGACTTTAATTGTCACTGGCAGTGAATGAGTTAAAGATGTCCCACAGATTTCACAATTGGATTAAATCCGGAGGCTCTCCGTTTGGGATTAAGTTTAGCAGATTCTCAGCTGGAAAGCAACTCATCTAACCCAATATATTTATATAGTCACACACCAAATGCTCACTTGGCCTCAGAACAGGCTAAATAAGCACAGGTGGAAACTTTTAGGGGTGTCAGAAACAACCATGGGGTGAGCAGGAGTAGCTCCAGTCCTACCGATGCCCTTGTATTTAGCTGCTGTGCGAGCTGAGAAGCCATTGACTGCCTGCAGATCCTCTGGGGAGAGCTGATAGGGCGGTCGCAGCTTGATCTCTGTCTGCATGTCAGCCAGGTTGATCTTGGTGGACAGGGAGCGCGGGTTGTTGTAGCGCTGCTTGGTTTTCTGGATAAAGGTGTCTGGAGGAGACAGTCAGCACAAAAACAAGCTGGTTTTAATGCTGCAGGAAACAAAACAAGGGAGATAAACAGATTATATTAGAGATAAGAACACTGCCGTGCTTAATGGTGGAAACGCCTCTCAGGCATCGCTTCATCTCCAATGATGATCAGCTGATTAAAATAATGAGGTTATTCATTCTCACCACTTAAAGGCACAGGACAGCAGATAATGTTTTCTTCTGCACAGCGTCTCCAGTACCTGCCTTTTACTAACTTATCCACCACCTTTGATCTTTTGGCTTTAGCTGCACCGGTGTCCTGAACGTAGTCTGGGTCCAACTCCTTTAAAGGCCCAGTGTGGGAAAAAATTAGACTCTTCAGCGCCACGCAGTTGTGAGTAAGTATTGCATCTATGGTAGCCCACAAACATCAAAAAGTCAATATGTTCTCAACTCAGTCTTAATTTGTATAGACCCACTGAAAGTTACTGCTTACATCTGGGTAACAGCGCACATCCACACTAGCTGGAGGGCAAGAACCCGTCTCCAGCCAGTATCCAGAGCGGGATCTCTGCGATTCAAGCTAACAAAATAAAACCTAGAGATTTAAATATCACTACTTTAGATCATCTAACACATCTTTGCAGATGAACAAAAAAAGAAACATCTCAAAGCTAAGAGTGTTCAGCAAAAAGCTTTCAGATGCACTTGAAAGAGCTAGCGAGCTGTGGGGACGACGGTCCTCAGAACCGGCCGTCTGAACTTCTCACCGCTGAACCGAGGAGCAGCTGGATCTCTTCTACGCTTTGCAGGTTATGCTGAATCGCCGTGACACCACTAGTCTGTGGAGCTTATTGGATGCTCTGTTTATTCTGACGAGCAACGTAAACAGAAACACAACTGAACAACATTAGCGGCTGTCCGCTCCAGTTACACACGTTTTGTGTACTTATTGTAACAAGACTGTTACTGCTGGTCACACACACAACTACACACCACACTGGTGTTGCCATTTTCACACACGTTTACTTCCCTGGACTGATCAGCCTACCGCTTTCCCCCAGCTCAGTCGGTTGGCTCTCCCCGGCTCCTCGCCCCGTGGTCACGCATAATTACATAATAATATAATAAATTCACATGAGTCAGAAAATGAGTTAAGCCTGGCCGATTCGGCCGTCAGAGGGGTCGCGCACTCCGTCCCGCAGCGCTCCTCCGTGAGAGCGGGGGTGGGGGTGGGGGGGTTGCACACGTCGACAACAAACATGCTGTTTCTCACCAGTTTTGTTGCGTGTTCGTGTCAGCGGACACAGTAGGGTCGGGGAGGGGGGTGGGGCATGACGCTTAGCCTGGCGGGTGGCCAAGCAAAGCCTGGTGGGCCTCCAGCTTACAAAGAGCTGGGGGAAACCCTGCATAAGTCATTACATGGCTGCTGTTTGTTTCTGGACACGTGGGGCAGATATTTCACTTTTCTCTTCTGTCACGAGACTTTGTCGGCTCTGACGCGGCTGGTTTATCCACTAGAATTAGCCTGTAAAATGTGACTTTACCATACTTCTTTCATTTAACCATGTGTATTAACCATGCTAATAAAATGTTATTTTGCCACTATTTAGCTCTCTTATTGACAACTAACAGATAAACACAACTGTGGCCAACAGGGGGAGCCAGCTTCGCCCTCCAGCCTGGGGCTTGGGGGCGGGGGTGTGGGCGAGTGACGCCAAGATGCAATGGCTCTATAGCGCCGTACAGACATGAAACATGGCACCAAGGCGCTTCAAAAGCACTATTACATGTTATTCACTAAGTAAGTACAGCAACAGTGCATCTCTTTGTCCTTTGTTGGTTTGGTAGACTGCATGCTTCCAGGACACACTGCTGTCTCCTGCTGTTGCCCTCAGGTCATGTCCAAGCACAAGCTTTGTATGTCCCTAAACAGCTACCGTATTTCAACATGGTGCATGACTATGAAGCATCAACCAGTTTATGTGTAAACAATTTAATATTTACAGCCAAGAGGAATACTTAGAATAGACGCTGGTGAGCAATTTTACTGAAAACTACCAAGTTTGTGAACAGATACACAGGATTTGATAGTAAACAAGTAAAAATATTCTCCTTGTGTTTGTGACTGATGCAACAGAAATCCTTCTCTAGCTGTTACACTTGGATCATTTTGGACTTTGGAGCGAAGCGGGCATTTACTGACAAACGGTTGCTCATCTCCATAAAACGACTTAAACGATTCCTCGAGTACAGCCTCAGTGTTCCTGCTAACATCAGCCAACAAATAAAATACCCTAACCGAACTGTGACACCAAAACCAAGATACAAATACAACCAGAAACGGTAGAACTTACCAAATTCAATGAAGGAGTACGGCCGCACGGCGCTGCTGATCCGTTTGGGGTCATAAGTGACAATAAACTCCTTCTGCAGCTCGTCCAGGAAGCAGAAGGCCAGCACGTTGGGGTAACTAGCAGTGCACACCATCAGGTACCCCACACCCAGAGAGTACGTGAAACTAAATCAACACACAAGCACAAACATGGCTGCTTTGAATGCATCTCTCAGAATTCCTGGGAACAAACGCTGACATTCCAGCAGCTCTGAACAACCACTAATTAAACACATCACTGCTTTGGAGAAATATCACACTTGTACTGATAATTAAGACTCAATCACCACATTTACATACAAATGCACCTGTTCTAACACATTATCCAAGAGCCTTGTGGTGAAAACCGATACAATGAGCTCAAATTACATCTCAGGGATTAAAGACGTTCCTTATTTCAGCACAATTAAAAGTAGAAACAGTCATCAATATTAAACAACGGACAACAATGATGCCAGAAGAGTTTGGTTTGGTAGACTGCATGCTTCCAGGACACACTGCTGCCTCCTGCTATTGTCCTCAGGTCATGTCCAAGCACAAGCTTTGTATGTCCCTCATGCAGAAACGACTGCCATGACATGGATGAACAGCTTTCTAACAGATAGTAAAAATATGGTATTTTTCAATTAGGGCTGCACGATATTAGGAAAACCTGCTATATTCGATAACAGTGCTTAATATTGCGATATCGATATTACTCACGATAAATGAACAAATACTGAAGTATGCAGTGTTGATGTCGTCTGGCGTCTGACGTCTGCTCTGGTTTCAAAGCAAACAAAAACTAATGCATGAATTCCATTACAACATAACATTTTTATTGCAACATTATGCAGCTGCACCTGCTACTGTATTAGCAGCAAAACAACAAACTGCATGCAAGCAGTTTCTCAGTGACTTTAAAACATCACCTCCACCATAAAACTTTTTCTGATGCTCCACATACAGAAAAACATCCATTACCAGGGTTTTTTGAATAAATAAAAAAAAAAAATCTGAAAATAAGTTTAAATGTTAAATAATAGTTAACATCATTTACATGCAACAGCAAATTCTCTCATTGCTACTGAACATTTTCTCCACTTATGTGGTTATGATATAAGGCTGTTGCTGCAATTGGGAAGTGATCTGTGCTGGGCCAAACTAGGAGAATATTAAGATTTTCTGAGGGAAAGAGAAAAACAATTGTCTACCTTTCAGAAGAGGAACTGGCAAAAAAAAACTACATGGAAAATATGTGAAAACGTTTGTTTTTAACCCCAAATTGAACAAGTTTACCTAGATCTTAAAAAGCAGCTCAGATGATGAAACTGCAACTATGATTCTGATAACACGCTAACAAATTGAACTAGCTCCTCTAAGAACACCGGCTAGCAGAGCTTCTGACTGACAGTTTATGTGCAGCAGCAAATCAACTATCCTGATTAACAAGGTTATAAAAGCTCATAAATGAAAAATCACTTTGATGTGTGGGGGAACTTTTCCAGGCCCTCTTTAGCAGGGTGGGACTGGGAGGAGAGTGCTGTAGCCTTTTAGCTGGAAGCTAACCGGAGCCTGGGGCTAACGTCACCACCCGGTGGAACACTAGCGACATGAAGGTGGGTTGGTTCACCGGCACGTGTCGGAGTCAGCCTGGTAAAAATGATTAACGACACCGAGCGGAGTCACGTTCACGTTTGAAAGCAGCGCTGAATCCAGAAACCTCAGCACAAAGTGCGTTCGTTACTCTGAGCCAGCATGACGAACAAGGGAATGGCGCCGCAAACTCTGTTTTGGTGTTGCTTTCCAAAAGGGTCTATGTAGGGGGCAGGCGTATTACGTGAACGGAACCATCTGATTGGCCGCATATCAGAAGGGCTACATTTGATTGGTCAAATAATACTTCCGAAAAAAACAGAGCTGATTTACAAAAAGTTGATGAATGACATGGATGGAAATGCTTGTACCAAACATTTATCGCTGTTTTTGACGTGTTTTGCGATGGGCCTATCGCACGTCCTGTTATCGCGATGACGATAATTTTTCGATACATTGTGCAGCCCTAATTTCAATGGAAGTTATTCTGAGCAAGTAGTGGTGAGCTGTGGGGTGCCACAAGGGAGTGCTCTGGGACCATTGTTGTTTTCAATCTTTATCAGTGACTTACCTCTTAGTTTACATCAAGCTACTATTACAATGTATGCAGATGACTCCACAATCCACGCCTCTGCAGATACAGATAGGGATTTAAACAGGATTCTAAATGAGGACTTAGCAGTAATAGACACATGGATGACAAGAAATGAATTAGTTTTGAATAAGAAAAAAACAAAGTGTATTATTTTAGGATCTAAATATTCCTTAAAAGAAAATCCAAGGTTAGTGCTGATGGTAGGTGACACAAAAATAGAGCAAGTCATGGATGTTAATTTATTGGGGGTAATAGTAGATAACCAAATGTCATGGAATAATCATGTCGACCAGGTATTGATGAAAATGGGAAGAGGGATTGCTGTAGTTAGATACTGTAGGAAGCCTATGTCTAATCAACTGCTAAGGCAAGTGGTTCAAGCTTTACTATTGACATATCTGGATTATGGTTCTGTAGTCTGGTCGAGTACATCGATGGGTAACTTGGCCTGATTACAGGTAGCTCAGAATAAGGCGGCTCGTCTGGCTTTGCAGTGTTCACATAGTACTAGTATAAGTGTAATGAATTCTTGTCTATCATGGTTGTATGTGGAAAATAGAATGAAGTATTCACTTTTGTGTTTTGTTAAGAGAGTAGTGATGACTAAATACCAGAATTATTTTACAGAAAATTTCTATTTTTCTCAGATATACATCATCATTCCACTAGGCAAACGTCACTCTATAGGTTTGTGTTACCTAGGTGTCGAACAACTTTAAAACAAAAAACTGTGAGTAACAGAGCGATGGTGGCTTGGAACACGCTACCTAACTTTCTAGTATTGGAGGATAATTTAATTACTTACAAAAAGAAGTTAAATATATTTCTGTTGACACAGCAGTAAAAGTGTTATTATCTTAAGAGGAGCGTTAGATTTATGTTTTAGCTATTGGAATTGTGACTGAACATGTGAAGGAAATGTCCGAAATGGCTGATGCAGCTTTTGCCATGGTTTGTAATTATTGTGTAGTTTGAGCAGATGTTTTTTTTTTTGTGTTTTTTGTTTTTGTGATGCGAGAATGTTTGAGTGAATTTTAATGTAAATATTGGTTGCTGTATTGTGGTGTCAGACCCCAGGAAGAATAGTTGCTGTATGAAGCAGCAGCTAATGGGGATCAAGTAAATAAATGAAATGATGCCAGAAGAGGCTGTTTTCATCAAAGGAAGGGAATGTTTAAGGATTAAAGAGACTTGTAGAGAAGACTGGTTCAAGGAAGAAAATATGAGAGATAATTACTGTAAATCAAGTCAAACTGTGTCCAGACACGAAATCAGGTTTAGTGTAATAGGGGACTGGGAATGTGTGTGTTTGTGTTGACATCCTGACCCAGACCAGCTTCACTAACAACATAGCTGATGATAAATCACATCTAAAAGACAAGCAAAAAAAAAAAAAAAAAAAAAAAATTTAAAAAAATTAAAATTACAAAAAAAAAAGCCCCAAAATGATCAGACTTTAGTATCAAACACCAGGACTCATCCTGCCCTCCCTGTTTCATAGACACTGGATACTTCAGGCTAAACAATGAAAGAAACATATCAAAAGGAAGCTGTCGCAGGCTCATGCCTCCTAATAAAACCAGGTAGCTGCTAACTAATATGGTTTCAAAATCTCTTCCCAGAGCACCAGCTTGGTCCCCTGGACATTTCTGAGGGCTAGAATCAAAACAAGCAGTGAACTTTATTATGAATGATGATAAATTACGCATAGTTTTATCTGATGTGTTTTCAAAACTAACAGATTTAGAAGGAGAAGCTAAACGGGGTGACTTGTGTTTGTGTAGGTGAAGTGGCGGTTGTTTAAAAGATCCAAACTTACTTAACGTTGTAAGAGCCAGACTTAAAGGTGCAGCGGTCAGGGAACTGGCCGAGTTTCCGGGAGAGACCTTTCAGATGTCTCTTTGTCTCCTGAAGCTCTTTGTCCTGCTCATAGTCGGTGGACGCTGAGAGAGGCAGGCCGTCCACAACGCGAACCACGGAGGCAAACAACACCACCGACATTTTAGAGATGAGGCTGTCTCACCGGAGGCCTGCGTACAAACATGATGACAAATGTTTTAAACTATTCAAAGGTCTGACTGAAAGAGCTGTCTGTTTTTCACCTGAGGAAGATCCGTGTTTATCTTCCTAAAACACAATCTGAAGTTCTACTTTTGACCTCAAGAAAAGGTCACAAATGTTTTCAAATATTGTTGTTCTAAACAGGTGGCTTCAGTTGTTGAAAGGTGCATTATGTAAAAATGAAGTAAAAATGGCACCCTGTGGTAAAATTTGGTTACTGCAATCACTTTAAACAACTCTGGAGCTTTTTGCCGGCCGTCGTCAAATTATAATTGTCTGTGCAGCAGTATTAGCTCACAAGAGACACGACACCCCCGCACCTTGCTTCTCCTCCAGCTTCACTGGCTGCCAGTCAACTTCAGGGTTCATTTCAAGATCCTGGTTCTGGTCTATAGGGCCTTACATGGACAAGCACCATCTTACTTTGGTGATCTTCTTAGTCCCTACACCCCCAGCAGGTCCCTGAGGTCCAGTGATCAAAGCCTACTGGTTGTGCAGCACCAGGCTAAAGACCAAAGGTGACAGATCATTTGCTGCTCTGGCCCCCAGACTCTGGAACTCTCTCCCCCTGAGCCTGAGATCAGTGGACTCCTTTAAAAAGCAGCTGAAGACTCACCTGTTCAGGCTTTGGTGTGACCTTCACCACCATCCTCTCCTTATTCTGCTCTTTCTACCAACTCCGCCTTTCCCGGGATCTGCTGATTTGCCTCTTTCCCTCTCCTTGCATTTTTAATCACAAAAAAAAATGTTTTTTTTTCTCATTTTAACCATGACTTTAATCATTTTTTAAAATCTGTTTTATTATTTAGAATTTTCTGTTCTTGTGAAGTGCCTCATGATTTTCATCTTGCACTATATAAAATAAAATTTTCTTTCTTTCTTTCGCTCATGGTAAACAGGAGCTACATCCCTCCTTCCTTTGTTTTGAAAAGTGAAAAACTGACAATCCCCGCAGCCAGCTGGATTGGAAATATGTTTCAGTATAACCTTCCTTTCAAAAGGACTGAAACATTAGACTCTTCTCACTATAAAATTCTCACTATATTCTTACATATATGCTTTCATACTCACTGCATATCCAGTAGAGGTGTTAAGCTTTGGAATGGTTTAGATGACAACTTAAAGAGTGCTGCTAGTCTATTACTATTTAAAAGACAATATAAGATGTCTGTTATTGAGAAATATGGTGAGAATATGTGATGGAAAAGCTTCTTGGTTTTATTCTGACTATGTGTTGTTATATAAAAGAACAGTACAAAATATAAAATGAACAAAATATGCATGAAAGGTTCATTAACAAAACATTTACTGTCAAAAAGTCTAATATTGTAAATTGTATAATATTGTAATGTGGGGTAGGTGCACATAAGCTTCTTTGCTTCAGCCTACTCCATTTGAGCGTTGTTGTTGTAATGTTGTGAATTTTGAAAGAATACAACAAATGTAACTGCTCAATGAATGTGCTGAATAAATAAATATTGCACCTTTAAGGCAGATTCAGGTGATGTTCATTACACCAGTTTTCTATCATGGATGACCTTAAACACAATTATAGCTTTCTGAAGTATCAAATGTTAACTCTTCAATACTAGTTAAAATTTAACTTACTTGGATTTATCCATGCAGAGAGTTTATTTTTATTTTATTAGCATAAAAATTATGATCAACCTACATTTATTCACAAGTTTAAAAAAATCTGCATGGCCTAATACTTGTTTGTTATCTGACATGATTTTATCTGGGAGCTAATGCACAGCACACAAATGACCACAAGCAATTGTTTCATGTAAGGTGGATTTCTCAGTAGATCCTGACGCTGCTGGAGCGTCTTATTATTTAAAAAACTATTTAAAATATCTCCTAAAAAGAAATTATCGACTAAAACCATCTTGAAGTTGAACAAAGATTATTATTCCAGTGTGTGCAAGTGTGTGTGCTCTCTCTGAAGCTGCTGTTATCTCGTTTGCTTCAATTGCCGTCACACCAATTTGCATTAAAGAGCAAGTCACCCCCTACAAGCAACTTACTTCACTCCCTCTTCATGTTTGAAAAACGCAACAAATGCCGTTGCCTAGCAGACCGAGAGGGCGGAGCCGCTAACAAATACACACACACAGGCTCACAATGGCATTGTGACATCATAATGTACCAGTTTACATCATAGCATACCTCTTAGCCAATAGCGGTGGCAGATTTAAATTCAAATGCAGTGCAGAGTTTTTACCTGACAACGGCACAACACTGACAGTTTTAGGTAGAAAATTAAAATTTTAACTAAAAAGCACTAAAGTGCTAAACTATTGACTACACGTGTCTGCAGCACAATTAGACACACATTTATGTAGTTTATCAGAAAAAAAGTTGATTTGGGGGTGACTTGCTCTTTAAAAGAACTTTATTAATAAAGTTTAATTGAATGTTTTTGAATTTAACACCACCTTAAAATTATGGAACTTTAAGAAAGATTAATTATTCAATCATGGTTCGGTATTTATTTGGTCTTGAGTTTCTGTGCATTTCCGTTATTGCCCTGACATTAGAAGTTGAGAATCTTTAATTTTTTTTTTATTAAAGCTTATTTTAGAACCTGCTCATCCAAAGACAGGTTGAGTCAGAACCACGGACAGCTCCACGGATGAGCGAGGAGACGCAGAGGAAGTGATCTGACGCAATGCTAGCGCTTACATTCATTGTACTGGTGGCAAAGATAAAAACAGAAGTTCATGTCTGATTGAACGTTTCAATATTGAGATGAACTAAAACAAAATAAAACATCAAACTGTAGCGCTGATGTATACGCTAGCTAGCTATATCGCTGAACTTCTCTACCGGAAAATAACAACTTCCGTTATAACGTAAAACAGAGAAAATTACCTAGTTACACACACCAAAACCATACTATAAAAGGAAACAACTGCGTAAATATGTGAACTAAAACAAACTAATTAAAATCCAGATTAGCCAGCGAGCCACTGAAGAAGCTCACGTTAGCTTAGCTAAATCAAGCTAGTGAGATACCCAGTAGATACATTCTAGCAATTAAATAAAAGTGTTACTCATATCCAAATGGCACTCACAGCTAGGAAAAACTGGGCCCGTTATGAAGCAGCGAATATCTGCCGAAGGAGAGGAGCATCATGCAGATATCTGTTATGTAGAAACCTGAAAGTCTTGCAGGGAGCTGCCTGCAGCGATTGGTCACGTTTACGTGGCTGTACCGCTGTGCATTGTGGGTAAATGCACAGAACATAAACAAACGGAAACAAGTAAAGGGTAAAAAATGCCTTGTAGTGAGTTTTAATAAACGTTTAAGAATCTTTTTAAATAGTTATTATAAAATAATTTACCTGAGGGGAAAAAAACAATTTTAGTGGACCAGGAAACGCCTCACCAGTCTCTATGACCTCTAATAAACATGTCTGTTTCACTAAAAAGGAGAATGTGATAGATATAGAGTTCATCATTGACAGCATTAGCTTGATGTAAGGATGTAAACTGTAGATTTATCATGGTAACTGTTGCAGGGGAAGATCTAGAAAAATTTAAATGGTGGTGTTGGGGGTGGTGCAAAAAATCTTGGCAGGATGGGAGTCATTCTCCATTAGGGTAAGTGACTAGCCTAGAAACCTTGATAAACTGCAGCAGAAGCAAGAGATTTTGCTTTGCAGGTTGGTCTAGCCATGCTCCATTATAGCCCCAGGCCCAAGCAGGTCTGCCATTGCCCGAACAATTTGAAGTCAGGCCACTCACAGCACTCCGTGTTGGGTGGACTTAGCAGAAAAATCATCAAGATGGTGTTGAACAGATAGAAGTGCTTGATTGATTTATTTAGAAAAATTATGCATTTTCTTCTTCGTTGACTGTGTATGGTGGACTGCCCTGTTGATGTTGTCGCTCATTGCTCTGATTGATTTACGCTCTGTCCAACTGCGCACAAAGACAGTTTGAAATACCACCATAGGTTCCGACCCTTCGGGTCATGCAGAGGCACCGCCAGGGATTTTGGGCCCCATGAAAAAAATAAATAAATCACATTGGGTCCTTTCACCAAAGAACATAAGCAAGGGCATCAGTTTGTTTTATAAAGATGCCAGGGATAGTGATATTAATTAACTTCAGCACAAAAACTGCAGACGTTTCATTAAAGTATGCACTGCAGTGCATTGACAGGTTTTCAAAATTGCCTTAATAATCAATTAAAAAACCTGAAAACTCGAGTTCAAACCAGCAACCTACCATTTGCAGGGGGATTGATTACTAAACCCCTGGGACACGTGTAGATGGGTGAAGATGAGTCTTTCTATAGTCTTCATCAGGTGGGAGGTCAAAGCGACTAGTCTATAGTGGTCTGGTTCCCTGGGATGTGATGTTTTGGGAACTGGAACCACACAGGAGGTCTTTCGCAGGATGAGGATCTGCTCCAGAAGAAGTCTCAGGTTGAGCATTCACAAAGCTGGTCAGTACAGTCTCTGAGGCAGATCCAGTCAGTTCCATCTAGGTTTGTCTTAATTTTAATTATTAAACTGAAAGAGTCTTACACTTAATTTCACTTAACCTTGAACTAGCACAGGCTTGTAAAACAACATTTTTAAAGGATAATTTTGCATAAAAATCACCTTCTTCTGGAAAAACATTCTGAGACTGGATTGGTGCAAGGATGCATGTTTGTGTATTTGTTTCTGTTGAGTGTCATGTTCTGGGGGAGGTGTCTAACCCTAGAATCAAACCAAAGACACAGAAGGATGAGAAATAAGATTTTATTTTGAAAACGAGAACTAAAGGTGCACTGGAATTCCAGCGGACTGGGAACGGGAATGCAGCGTCTGGAGGGGAGAGCAGAATGGTGAGTCCTGAGGAGTAAGTCTAAACTGGAAGGTGCAGAGTAGGTTGTGTGGGAATAGGGCTGAGGGGAAGGTAGTGAGCCGGGGTGTATCCAAGGTGAGTTCCAGAGCTGGAGAGGGAGCGTGGGAATGAGACAGAGACACAGACAGAGAGAGGGAAAGTCAGTCAGGATGGATGGACGAACGTGGCAGAGCGAATCCAGAGTCCTATGGAGTCGTGGTGAGAAAAATCCTGATGTGTCGAGACCTGAGGTGAGCGAGCAAAAATACAAAATCACACGAATCCAAGAGTACGAGAGTATCCAAAAACCTGATGTCGAGACGAGGGCTGGAAACTACCAAACGGTAGCAATCATCCAGCGTGAGCTGTGTTCTCTATCCATCTTAAATAGCAGACCCGCTGATTGCTGACCAGGTGCAGCTGTAGCGCCCTCTCCTGCAAACACACACTCAGAGATAGGTTGGTGAGGAGTACCCACCCGGCTCATGACATTGAGAAGATATAGCAAAACCAGAATTGAGTAAAGCTGTTCATTAATTTTGTACTTGTTGAAGAAGGACTTACCTGATTTTAATGGCACTAGTTGGTGTTTATTGTCCTGTGGTAACTTTTAGGTCTTTGACTCTCAACCTGTGATCAGAACTAAGGAAGCCTTTTGGATGAGAGGCAGGCTCACGCACATAGGTAAATGAGTGAATAGATAATTGAAAATCACATTTTTAAACTCTTGTTAGCATGAATGTGTTTTGTAATTAAAATTCTCATTAGATTGTTTTTCTGTTTATTCTTATCTTGTTCTAGTTCTCAGTGTCCACTGAAGAACGACTATCCCCATTTCTAACTGTAAATGGTAAATGGCCTGTATTTGATATAGCACCTTCTAGAGTCCTGGAACCCCCCAAGGCGCTTTACAACAAAATCAGTCATTCACCCATTCACACACACATTCACACACTGGTGGTGATGAGCTACGATGTAGCCACAGCTGCCCTGGGGCGCACTGACAGAGGCGAGGCTGCCGAGCACTGGCGCCACCGGTCCCTCCGACCACCACCAGCAGGCAACGTGGGTTAAGTGTCTTGCCCAAGGACACAACAACAGCAACAGACTGAGCGGGGCTCAAACCTGCAACCTTTCGATTACAGGGCGAGCACTTAACTCCTGTGCCACCGTCGCCCCACTATCTGATGTAGCAGGAGCTTTTTATTTTTATTTCATAAAAGTTAAGACTATGGCATGAAAGATGAATAATGAATACTCTGTAACTAGAGCCTGCCAAGCTTTAGCGTTCCACTTAGATCTGAAACAGGACATTCACTGACATCAGCTTTTTCTGTAATTATCATTCATTTTCTGTTCAAATGTGGAAAAAATCCTGGCAAAAGAAATTAAAACAGCAGCACAAATTGTTACTGGCCTCGTCCTTCACACACCTATTCAATCTCCCCAGAGCCCAAAAATGTGTCAGCCCGAGGGAAACTCGTGTGTGTGTGTGTGTGTGTGTGTGTGTGTGTGATGGGCACACGAAGAAATGGATGATGGATGTGTGCTGCTGCTGACAGGTTGATGAATAGCCACAGGTCTCTGTGAGGGTTTAATGCAGAAAGTGGCAGGTGTGAGGAAGGCAGTGTTGTCATTTGCAGTGACACAGTCTAAACGCAGGTGCACACATGCGCTCAGCATTCATACATCATCGCTAATTGTCCTCCCTCCTTGGATGTCATCGGTGCACATTTCATTTCCGAGTTCAGGAATCTTCACAACCACAAATACAATTCATGTCCAGAGTGAGAGACTCGCTTCTAACAGGTTTAGCACATTTGAGATTAAATGAAAGGTAAATTTTAGCCAGACATGACATTTTATAATGGCTGTTTTGATTCATGTTTGTTTTTACATGATCAATCTTTGGGAATGGAAATCCCTCCTTTATTCCCTTTCCTAAAGTTACTCATTTAAAAGGCTGTAGTAACCCTAACTCTGGACCCAAACGGAGTTAAACACGACGTTTCATTGACGGGGTGAGCTTCATTTATGACAGTAAACTAGAACATGGGGTGAAACAAATACTGAAATAATTCTGGGTCAATGTTTTGTTGTTTTAGCACTGAATCCAACACCTGGGGCAGCAGTAGGTCAGGAGGTAGAGCAGGTTGTTCAATAATCGGAAGGTTCTAGGTTCGATCACGCCTCTTGCCAGAGAATGCTGCTGTTGAGTCCTTGGGCAAGACACTTTACCTGCCTTGCCTGCTGGCGGTGGTCGGAGGGACCAGTTGCACCAGTGTTTGGCAGTCTCACTTCCACTAGTGCACTGCAGGGGAGCTGTGGCTACAGTGTAGCTCATCACCACCAGGGTGCGAATGTGTGTGTGAATGGGTGGGTGATTGTGTTGTAAAGCGCCTTGGGGGGTTGCAGAACCCTAAGATGGCGCTATACATATACAGGCCTTTTACCATTTTACTGAACAAGCTCTTCCTTGGTTTGGATGTGGACAATGAGCCGTGCTTGGCTAGGTGTTCCCACCTCCAGCACGCAGCACCTCCATGTTTCTGTCGGTGAAAGCTGCAAAATCTGAAATGAGTGTTGAAGAGACGACGATCTAACAGGGTGCTTATCTGGTCTGGAGTGAAGCTGGTCCAGTAGCTGCTGGTCTTGTTGGAGACAGGTCCTGATGGTTCAACAGTGTCTGATATATGAATGAGGGGTAAAGTGATGTCTAATTCAAACCAAACAGCTGCTTCCACCAGAGCGCGCTTTCCGCTTCAAGTGGAGTTTTATAAGTATTTGATGTTTGCCAAAGGTCAGCTCTCGCGGTCTGGAGCGGTCCAAAATGGGCCTTTGACAAGGCAGAACCCTGTTCCGGAACATTAAAGTCCCAAGACCACCTGCTAAATTCCACATGTGGCTGGTGTGTCGGCAAAGTTAAACAGGATTTTTTTAAACATCAAAAATACACGTTCACTCTAAACCCTCAAACAGGTTCCCAACCATGAGAGCAGCAATGTGGTTTATGTCATTCAGAGCTGTGAGGAACGCTGTGAGCAGTACAAACCCAAAACAGAGGACACCATCAGCTGTCTACCTTCATCTAACAGAGGACATTCACTTAGATCGACGACACGTTGTTTGAGACTGGTTCAGAGACCGTCGCTTGTGCAAATAAACAACCCCACCCTCAACAGGCATGACCTCTGTCCTCTAACGTGTCAACCACTCTGGGCCCACACACGTCTCCACCACACCGAACAGCACTGTCCACTCTGGAATGCTTATTTGCATCCGTTAGAAATAACTTAGGTCTAAAATACTTTTGAGCCTGTTGGAAGAAATCAAATCATAACAATTTAAATAAAACACTGTGGTGTGGGAGAGTATCTTCAACTGCACAAAGCATTTTTACATAAACGGCGTACGAACAAACACAATCTAACAAAAATATGTACAAAGTGTGATGGGTTAAAGACGGACTTCACAGAAAAAAAATACTCCAATATTTCTATTCCAAAGGGAAACTAGCTTATGTGACGTTCTACTCTAATCTCAGCAGATCCTGACTTTGTGCTCTTCACCCTCTGGGTCTTATGATAATTTTGCATGAGTTAAACAATTTTCCCTCCTTCTAAGAAAACCTATAAAAAGATCCTTTCAGGCATGAAAAAGAGTCCAGTTCCTCTGAAAACGCTGCAAAGTGAAGCTGAGATGGAGTTTTTTTTCTCCCGCCGTGGCACCGAGGCATTAATCAGCCTGCTGAGATTTCATGCTGCATGCATCCCAACAACAGCACTTTATCAGAGCGGAGTGATCTACGGACTGGACACACAAATCTGCAAAGTCACATCCAAGTCCTCAGGTGGCTGTGGTGATCCAGCAGGTACTGATTTACATCTGGAAGAGAAGTAGTGGGAACTTTAATTGAAGCGGATGTTCCCTGGGGATGGGTTCACTGGGGATGTCTGGCACTGGGGGGCCGTTCCCCCCCTCTGGAGGTGCTTGGGTTGCCTCGGGGGGTGTACTGCTGGCGGTTGTGAGTGGGGCCCCTTGGAGGTCTTGGCGGCGGCCATGGGTCACTGCCTGGCGGCTGCATTGCCCCTGGGTGGGTCTGGGTGGGGGCCTGGGGGCTCGGGGTGTTGGGGTGGCCGGCCCCGTGTGGGGATCTGGGCTGGGCCTTGGGGGTCGGGTCCCTACATGTACGCTGCCGGGAAGAAGTCAGGAATACGCAGAAGTACCTGGCCCGGGTTCAGGGGCGTAGGGCAGGCCCTGGCTCCTCTGTTGTCCCATCACAGGGGAGGGGGAGGTCCAGGAGGGGGAGGACCCAACCTTACCTGGATGTCTTATGTCTTATATATTCTGGAAGTTGTGCAAATGCAGGGATGGGCATAGATATTCTGCTGGGGTGGGGCTGGGTCGGCTCCCTCGGGCTCTGTGGGGCTCTGTGATGCTGCTGCTTTGGGCCCTGGCAGGATGGGCTGGGGTCTCCATGCCCTGGGCGGCGGTATGACAGCGGAGGTGCCTATTGGGGTCAGTGGGGGAGCTGGCTCCCTGGAGGGCTAAGCCCTACCAGCCATTCCTCCCCATCCCCGTTTATTTCTCTCCTCCTGCTCCCTCACATCATCACACAAACATGCACATAGGACCTTGGGGGGTGGACAAGTCGAGGAGTGCGGGTATGGACCCCATTTCCGCATTCCTGTGGCTTCCTGCCCCCCAATTTTATTTGCACCTTATGCACTTCCACCGACGACATTCCACGCAAACATACACTAAGGGCCTTGGGAGTGAGCACATTCAACGGCACTTGGCAGGGGGAGTTCTCAGCCTCCTCCCGAGTGCCGGTGCCCACTTCGAATTTTAAACTGCATTTAGACACCAAGGGCTGTGGGTGCAAGTAGGGTGGTGCAGTGGCATCAGCTGGCATAGGCCAGAAAATGCCCGCACTGCCCGCTCACCACAGCAATAGAATACACCTCATTAACACACAACACTATGTTGGAGCAGGTGGAGGGAGACCAGGGGGTCTTAGCACACCTCTGTTGTTGCTTGGCTGCCTGGGGCTGGAGACTAGGAGGGAGATCTGGCCGTCTGGTTGGGGTCTGGGGTGGTGGGTTGCTGTGCTCGGCGGTGGGCGGGGGAGCCTGCTCATCAGCACCCCAGCAGAAAGGGTCAAACTCTGGTAACCGGTGGTGGTTGTACCCCATGTGCAGCATTACCGGGACCAGAGTGAATAGGGTGTGTATGGGGAGCATGAATGGGTGTCCGGCGTGTATTTTTGTAAGTCTTTGGTTGTATGTGCATGTGTGAGCATGAGGGAGGGAGTGTGTGACTGTGTTTGTGTATGACTGTATATGTCAGGTGGGGCCTTTGACTCCTCCCTTCTCCTGGGACCTCCTTTGATGATATAGATCTTCGTCTCCCCTCCCCCCTGTCACACCTGGTGTGGGTGTGATGCCTTGGTCTGCCTGAGTGTTCGTGGCTCCCGGGTCAGGGAGTTTATGATCTTTGGCATCCGCCTGATCAATCCCGGTGGCGGCCTGGGGGGGTCTGGGTCCCTGGGCTCTGCTGGGTCCCCGGCGGGGGTGGTCGCCCCTGGGTCCCGGGTCGCTGGGTCCCGGACTCGGCCGGCTAGGGGGTGGGAGGCTGCGGGCAGGCCTGAGGACTTGCCGCTGATATCTCCCGGGGCTCTGCCGGCTGCTGGTTGTGGCCTCCCGGGGCGATCCTCTGTGCCTCTCGAGGGGGGCGGGGGCCTTTCTGGTTGCGGGCTCCTTGGGGTTCCTGTGTTCTGGGGCAGCGCCTGGATCTCTGGGACTTGGAGCTCCCCCCCCCGTCTCCTACGCGTCTTTGGGGGGCAGATCTGTGGTCCCTCACACTCTCTATTGGACGCTCCTATAGATAAACCTTACATAAACAAGCGCATGTACACACACAGGTGCTCACATGGTGCTCTCATAAGTATGGGCTTGGGCACGTTCAACACATGTCTTAAGACTATGGTGGGCACTCAATGCACTGTGGTATATTATCGTGTGACTGTTTAGTTAAACAATGATTGATTATATATTTCTTCATCAAGTTGATGCAGTGATAGCTTGATTTTGTTATATTGGTGTTGTGTCCCATTTTTTTGTTATGTTTTGCTTTTTTCTCGTCTCATTTTGCAGGTCTAGAAGCAGACTCTTGTTCATTATTGTTTATTTTTGTTGAATCCCCCCCCCCCCCACCTAACCCCCTCTCTCCCCACCTTTTCTCTTTTCCTTTCTCTTTCACCTCTGTCTCCGTGTCTGGTCGAAATTACAAAGCATTCAAAAACAATAACAATAAAGTTTTAAATATCAGGTGCGACATTAAAAGCAGACTCTTTGATGCTCCACCTGAGACATTAAAAGCAGATGCTCTGATGCTCCACCTGAGAGTAAAACTGTAAGGCTTGTTACCAGCATTCAGACATCAATTCTGCTTGCTTCACAGCCAGACAGGACACGTTAAAAAAAAAAAAAAAAAAAAAAAAAAAAAAAAAAATTGAAGCGGACGCCAGCGTCGTCACGTTTGAGTCCTGAGACATTTCTGTTTCCCAGTAGAAAATCGGAGTCAGATCTGCCTGTTTGGTGAATTGTTTAGCCACCAGAACTCTGCCGTACAGTCCTGACACCATGGATGTAATTGGGGTGGGTGGGGGGTGTCAAGTTTTGACCCCTGCATTTTTTTACCATCCAAAAACGACATTACGCTATATTAAATTGACACTGGTTGAGCTCTAGGACCAAGCGGAAAACAACCGTTTGCGTTGAAGCCGGTTTCCCATTAGAACATACTGTAAAGTTACCCCCCCCCCACTTCTAAAGTGAAGATTACGTCCATGCCTGAGACCCAACGCGGCCCGCTTCAGTGAGTTTCGTATGTTTGGTCTGGTTCTGTTGGAGGACTCTCTTCATCCTGACATAAATGTCTGTACTAAACTCAGCCACTATTTGCTGAGTCAATTCACATCAACATAAAGGTGCCAAAGGCCCGCTGACGCTTCAGGAAAATTCAAGGAGATCGCTGAAATTATTAAGCGTTTCCTGTCCAGGAGTCAAGAATGTTTGTTTCAATCTATCTAAGAGTTATGGACGTCTCCAGAGGCGCCGCTCAAACATGGAAAAAAAAAAAAAAAACTGCAAATCCAGCAGAAATGTCTTTACTGCATAAAGTCAGACGGCTTTTTCTGTTGGAAACGTTTGGCTTTATTTGATCTTCTTAGGGGAATAACTGTACATATGGCTGGGCACAGAAAAAACAACAAAGGCAACAATGACTTCTTGGCATAAAGTGTGAAAAACACACACCGTGGATTCCTTTGGGATAACAGATGAGTCGTTATTACTAAAGTATGACGTCTGAGTGAAAACCTCCAAAGAAAAACAAAAGTGGTGACGGGTACGCCAAAGGTGTAAAGCCTCCGTGTGACGGGGGTCATTAGTGCTGACAGAGTCAAATACTTAACAATAAAGTTGTTTTCAGATCAAAAAGGGGCACACAGACGCACAATACCCATAATTCCCTATGGTGACAAATGCTTGCACCTGGGTCTGAACGCAGCCAGTTACAACATGGCTGCAGGATGGGTTTTACTGTAGAGCTACAATAATAAACATTTTATTTCGAAAAAAAAAAATAAAATAAAAAATTCAGGTGTTTCAGACTCTTATTGTGAAGGGCTGAAGGAAGCTCTACTGTTAAATGTCGCAGGAGCACAGACCACCCCTCACATATAAGGAAACCTATTATGGTCATTTACGAAGTAAAACCACGCAAAGGATAATAAAAACAGTCGGGTTCTGGGGAACAAGATTCACGTCAACGTATTTTACATTTCAATTTTATTCTGAAAATAGAAATTAGATTATCACCCATGGACACATTTCTTCCCTTTCCTTTTTCTCTGGGCGTCTCTAATTGTGTGTTCAGTGCAGCCAGAACATTTAAAACAGCTGTAAATAAAAACATTTACCCTTCAGTGACCTCTGACGACATCTAGGACTCAAGACGGAACAGGAAGGACAAATAACGTGAGTTAGGGATTCCACCGTCAACGTTTATTGACCAAAGCAGGAATGTGAGGATGAATGAATTCCCTTTAACTGTGTTAAACTATCCCTGAGAACCTTACTGATAATGAGAGAAACCCAAGACCTGAACAATAAAACAAGAACAGCCATGATAGGTCCGTGGATCCAGGAGGCGGAGTGGGCTCAGCAGCCTCGTTGGAGTCTCTGACGGCGCTCGTCTGGAGCTGAAGGTGACATTAGGTCCAGCTGCACGTGGAGGCAGAGGGAGTTCTGCGGTGGTGGCTCCATGTTGTATTACTGTTTAAAACAATAAGATCCCATTCTGGATCAACAATAATCAAACACATCAAATACTCCTTTGACTGGAAAGAAGAGAAACAGTTTTGATTTCATTCATGCTTTTGTTTCTGATCATGAAGGAGCTGAAATGCCACCAGGCTTAAGCCTTCCTGTGGCTTAGAGATATTTGACATATTTAGGTTTTAAGGCCACAGATTTGAACAAAAACAAACATTTGAAGATTTTTCTAGCAGTAAAAACCAGCATGATGGAGACAAGAACAGAAAGACACAGCAGAGGCTCACCCAGGCCTCCAGATGTTTTGTTCTAGATGAAGTGAGGCTGGATGAAGTCACCGTACCTAAAACTAAACCAACACACTTCCTCCAGAGGCGGCGCCATGTTGATATGAGCGGATCAGAACCTTCAGTGTGGTGACGAAGGGTGCAGCCTTAGCTTTAGCCACCAGTCAGGTCACACAGACCCCCACTGGGCTCAGCAGGGGTCACTATTGCATAGATTCAGTACAGGGCGGTGTAGCTTTAAGACATCCAGTCACAGTGATTGGAAACAAAAAAATAAAAACACTTCTTGTCTGTCATCAGAACATCCATCAAATAAAGAAGTCCCGGAGCGGGCGGCGGGACTCCTGGTATAAAAATAGCCTTCACTGAGGTCACAGAATCTCCCAGTCCAGTGCTGATCTGGTCCTTGCCAGGCTCAGGGGTCCCAGGGCACCTCCACCAACCCTCAGAGCTCCTCCTTCCTCTTGACCACCTTTTCCTGGTCACGGCCTCTCAGGCTGCGCATGAATCCCGTGAAGCCCACCTCCTGTGAAGAAAAGGGTCACAGGAGCTTCATTCAGATCCAAACTACAGCACTGAACATCACACCGAGGTGGTCTGACACCACAGAGGAGCAGAATCCAAATGCTGCCGCCAACTTCAGCTCACTCAGCTTGATTTAATAAAGAAAACATCAAAGATGGGTCTGTTACTCTTGCTGTTCTATCCCAGAAATAACCCAGAAATAAATCAGACGACTTCACATCTCAGTCCAGCTGTAGCTTAAAAAAGACGAGCAGTTCAGCGGGAACAAAATTCAGCGTGCCTCCAATTCCTGTTATTACCCAACAATCCAGAGCAAGACGTTACTGAGATAGGCTAAATCTACAGCAACAGGTGTGAATAGATTTGAGTTCATCCTGAACAGACTGGTTTTATTGCTCCGTGTTGACATCCCACTACTCACAGCAGATGGACGTTACAAATTAAAACCATTTTCACAACAACTTAGTTCTAAAACAGATCAGAAAATGGAAATAAACAAGCGTGTGTTAAATCCAGGCCAGCTGGGTTGAGAGGGACATCAGTAAAATTTAACAGTGATCCTAATCTGAATGCTGTATGTGTGTGTGTGTGTGTGTATGTCCAAACACAAGGTGTATTACTGCTGCCTCAACCCCCCCAGAGAGTAAAATTGCATGGGACTCTGCTGAATGTGGAACGAGCTTATAAGAAAATTGACATTTTACAAACATTTGATCACAGAACAGGGTAAGACAGCCAAGTTTAAAGGGACTTTACTGACTTTTGAATGTTTATGCCCCCACAGGCCAAAAGTGTAACGGCAGCTTCAATAGTAGACTCGTGCACGAGGCGCGCATGCTGTACGTGCACACTCCTTAACGAAAATAACAGCTGAGACAGTCCCGTGTGTGTGTGTGTGTGTGTGTGTGTGTGTGTGGCCCGGAGGACAGAGGACAGGAGAACACGCAGCTAATTAATTAAATAATTTGGTTCTGTACCTTTCTCTTCAGCATAGCCAACTAAAGGTTTATGATGGGTCAGTCCTCCTGCATGCTCAGATCATTCCCTTCCCTTGCTTGAAAAATTGTTCCAAAATGAAAGTTGAACCCACATCTTTTTTATCTGTGAATTCAATGCCGTTCGGCGAGTCTCAAATAAAAATTATACCATTAATGTAAAAAAGAAACTCTAAATAAACGATGTTGACATCCAGAATCGATCCCGGGTCTTCGGCACAAGAGCCCAACGTCTTACTAGGTGAGCTAAAGCGCCAGTGGCGTCTTTTGTATCTGTAACATTTATATCCTTGATATTAGCTGCAACAACGTTCAAAGAACGGTTCGGAGGGAAAATGGCTATTTTGTTGCTAATTTGCAGGAAATATCTAAAAGAAAGTTCTACAGAAAGTAGCTAAGGGTCCTCAGAAATGTAGCTAGCTTTGTCACTAGGCGTTAGGAACAGCGACAAAGACTAAATCTACTGATAGCAAATGCTACGGGCTATGCCTGAGTGTGAATGCGCATGAAGCAGCCTGCTCGACTCGAGCCGCTCTCTTTTTCTGTGATTTTACAGAAAAACAGGCAATCACAGTAAAAATGCCAGGGAGCCTCATTCTACAGGACCAGGGCATTGCAGGAGAATGTATGAAAATGACATTTATTATTTCTATTTCTATACATGTTTTGGCTGTCAAACTTCCATAATGCCCCTTTAAGGATTTCTAAAAAAAAAAAATCCTAAATTATTTCTGATAAGGGGAAAATTCTAGCAGCTTTAAAGGTAGGTTCTACTTACGCCACGGTCTCCGTTGTATTTCTCCACGAACTTGCCATAGTTGTAGTGGTTGAATGTTGGGTAGCCCTCCACCCCCTCCTGCTTACACAGCTCATGGTTCTGACCTTTAGTGCAGTCCACAGCGGCGTACGCAATCTGAAACACAAAGATCAGCACCATTAGGGGTCAAGGGGGTCTAATACACTGTGGGTGTACTGGAAATACAGTAATGTGCACAAGTTTTAGGCAGATGTGGAAAAAAATGCTGTCAACCAAGAATGCTTTAAAGGTGTAGCTCATTATTTTATTCAACACATCTGCAGTGGTCTCTAGTATGAATGAGTGCCTTGTAAGCTGTACTCGGGGGAGGAAATAAGGATCTGGCGCGCCTGTTTCAGGAAGCAGAAGTGAGCCACTTCAGAAGAGAGCTTTAGACAGCAGGATTTGGACTCTTATTTCCTGATATTTGGACATCTCCCCTCTGATTGGCTAACAGCAACACAACTCTACCACTGACTCTGTTTGCATTGCATTGTTGATGTTTAATCCCCACAAATAACAGAAGTCTGAAGGAGTTCTACTGTGTGGTGGTGGTGCTAATGCTAACAAATACCTTCTATTAGCAGATACTTATTTCTGAGAAACACTCAGAAATAATCGTTGAAAATAGGGTTTTCAGTGTTCCACACCTTTAGGAAATATAATTATTTAATGTTCTCAATTTACAAAATGCAAAGTGAGTGACCCCAAACATCGAGCCAAAGTCATCTTCAGCATAAAGAAGAACAAGTAGTCCTGGAAGTGATGGTCTGGCCCCCACAGAGCCCTAACCTAACCCATGGAGCATCATGGAGTCTGTCTGGGATTAGATGATAACAGAGGGATGTGAGGAAGCCTCCAGAAGTTCTGTGGTTAGTTCTCCAAAGATGTGTGGAACAACCTACCAGCACAGTTTCTTCAACAACTGTGTTCACGTGTAGCTAGAGGAACTGATGGTGGTTTGAGGGTAAAGGGTGATTGCACTAAATATGGATTTAGTTTAGATTCACCTTTTGGTTCTTCACTTTGTTGATTGATGAAAATAAATGATTAAAACTTACATTTCTGATAGCATTCTTTGTTTGCAGCATTTTCCCACCTGCCTAAAACTGCATCAATTCCAATCAGCTGATCAATACCATCTTATCCTGATTTTGACCTTTATTTCCCTTCTCTTGTTTGTAAAGCTGACTGATTCTCTCCATCAACAGACAAAAAGCAGACAACGATCTGTTCGACACAAAACACAACAAGGGAGACTTATGTTGCATCGATTAGCAACGCGCCGTCCCAACGAGGCGTAAATGGTGCTGTGCTGATACATGGAGGCGTGTCCTTTTGGACAGCTGAAATGTCGCCCTCTCTCAGCGTGCTGAGCAGTGCACATTGAACTTGTCAACATCAAATAATTGCTCCCCGTCTGCCTGCCCCTCTACAAGAGGAGGAGGTGTTTCACTCCGTTTCCACATTATCGAGTGGGGGCTAAAACCTTTTTCAGTGATAAATAAATGCTCATAATTTATTATTTAGGTCCAGTGTTGACACATTTTTGAATGGAAACACTGGTGTGTGGTGGCCTATCTAGAGAAGTAACAGAAAAAATGCAAGTCAGACAGAATGATGGAGATTACAGAGGTGGTTCCTCCTCTTTTAGGTACTTTAATCAAGAGTTTAAGCTAGGTCTTGTTGTGCTTCAACAAAAGGGAGGATTTCACAGTCCTGTGACCCTCAAACTGTGCACACTCAGCCAGTCGGAGCACATTCGGCTTACAAAGACAGAAATTCAGCTGACAGCACTCACAATATAGTCTTTCTCAGACAGTTCATCCAAAGATACATTTCATTAAGTGAATTCCTTTGTGTATATGTCGCCCTCTACGTGAGGACACAGAAGAATCCTCAGCAGCAGCAGCTGATGGAAGCAACGGGGAACATAACGTAACTACAGGCTCCATCCTGCTGCTCTTCCCCGTGTAATCAATCAGAGTTGCAGCAAACTGACAGGAGAAAATGAAGTTGTAGAGTCGTTGTTCTTCAAAGGTCTGCTGCTAATTCCGTTATTGATCCATCTTCAAGTGACAGAGGACCCCCACATCGAGCCATTTACTGGTTCGCAAAATTACCAGCTGGCCTGCTTTCAATCTAGCAGCTTCACACCCAGGAGCAACATGATAAGAACACTGTCAGAAGACACTGGAAGAGAAGAGTCACAACAAAGCAAATATGTTTATTTTAAGGAATGGCTGATGGGAGGTTTTAAACTAGGTCTAGTTGAAGTTTTAAACTAGATTTATAATTTAGATTTCACCGTTTTCCCATGTCCTGTCAATGCAACAGATCATAGCACCACCTCGTTATGTAGAGCAGTCCAAAGTCTTCGGACTAATGCTTAAAACTCGTGTTCAGGAATATGAGTGTGAGACGCATGCTCCAAAACGTGGTTTTAATGAACAGGGTGAGGACAACAACAGAAAAACTACACCAGCAGCAGAAGGGTAACTTCAGAAAAAATCATAAAAAACGGTGTCTGATTAAACAGTGTTCTCATTAAAACCTGAGCAGAAAGCTGTTGGAAACTCTTCCACTCAGTAGCTTAATTTAGCTACTGATAAAAATTTGGGGAAACAAAACTGCTTGTATTCTGCTCACATGACGCTACGCAGCAAAATGTTGAGTTTTATTTGTTCGTCTTCAAAGCTGCTGCTAGTTTTGTGTTTGTCTTTGGCGAATCAGGCAAGGGCAGCTAATGGGCTGGGATCAACACAACTCAGTGTAATAAACGGGGACTTGGCTTGATTAATTGTGAAGATTGCCAAGTTAACACCGGCTCAAACCAAACCTCCTCTAGCCTCTTAGGGGACATCAAGCTGGAGGACAGCCTCAACAGGTGAATTTGAACGAGACAAGTGTCCCTTGGTTGGGAAGTCTTAGAAGATAGGACCTAGTGTTTTGACTTGACTCAGACAGGTTTATCCTATTTGACTTGGACTCAAACACTAAGAACTAGAGCAGTGGGATCCCAGCCTTATGTCCTTGAGGACTGTGTCACAAACAAGCAGGACCCCAACATTCCACTATCTCCGCTCCGGCACGAACTCCACAGCAAAAACGGTCCATTTGTAGTCAATCAGAGCTGTGCCACTACTGCGGCCGTGCACCGGCCGCCGTTCCGCCATCCGGTGTCGGTACAGGATCGACTCGGGGTCCTTCGACTGCCGATGACGTCAAAGTAGTTGATTGGCTGAACATGAAGCTTATGGAAGTTACGTTATCACGTTATGATTTTGATTGGTCAGAACAGATTTGCGGTCGTAGTCTTAGCGGTTGTAGTCCTGTAGTCCAAAAATCAACACTTTTTGGAGAAAATATGTTTGAATTTCTGAAAAAAAACGTAAAATATAAGCAAATGATAAACGGTGACCCTCAAAAGCTCTTGATGTTGATGAAATGGGGCAAAATAAAATACAAAAAATTTACTGAAAAACACCAAGCAATATTTTGTGTCAAAGAATGTATTTAAATAACAACTAAGGAAATATACAGACAAACTCCACATTAAGACAAACAGAAATGGCTTCACATATAAGAACTGTTCTATTTTTTGTCAGTCCGATGTTGGTTTTATGCAGTTTCACATTCTTTACAAAACAAAGATAATATGGTGTTCTATTAACAAATTACAATTATAAAGAAAACATTTAGGTGTTAACAAACAAGAATTTATTAACAAAACTGCTGATGTCTTTCCAAAACGTATGTGTGAAAGCCGAGTAGATTTGCAGGAATGTGACGTCATCGGCAGTCGAAGGATCCTGAGCAGATCCTGTACCGACACCGGCAAAAATAGGATCGATTCTACTTTTGCCGGACGCCGGAGCACCTCCACAGTCAATGGACAGAAATCACAACCGCCCAACAGGAAAGGGAGCAAGCACAACTTCCGTTATTTCACAATAAGTCGATAAACAAAAAGCGTTTTTTTGTTTCGTGTGCACAGGTATTTTTATCTAATGACTATTACATGTATACAAATATGTCTCAAAACGTTTTTTACGTGTTTACACATAATTTGAAGATCGTGTAAGTCAATATTATATTTTAATTTGAAAGCCATTTTCTCGATTCACACGAGTTAGTGGAAAAAAGCAGAAGAAAAACACTAGCGAGCGAGATCAGAAGATAGACGAGGAAAAGCTCATCCTTAAAGTGGAAAAGCACAAAATATTATATGACAGCATGCATCCATGTTACAAGGATGTCAAAAAGAAGAAAATCCCACACATGCCTGTTTGTGCACCTCAGGTTTGAAACCACTGAACTAGAGTAGGACTCCAGTGAAGGTGATTTGATGACAACACTGACTCAGTGACAAATGCAATCGCTGACAACCATCCAGTCTTGTGGTTTAAATCAAGCATCATTTTGATCCTTTTAACTGATTACAGACGTGTTACAAAGACTTGCCTCAGAAAAACCTAAAACTGCGTTGCTGAGGTTATGTCACCATTTCAAACCATCTGAAAATAATGTTGAGAAATTCCCAGCAAATGAGAACATGACGCAGCGTGAGCTCAAGAGGCAATTAATGTCAAGCTTCTCCGCAAAGCATTACATTTCAAACGCATGAAGTTATTTTCTCTCCCCCTCGCTTTATTTGATAATAAATCGTCACCACGAGAACGGGCAGAAACACACTCATATTTTCTCAGTCCGTATGTATCAGAAAGCACGAGTTAGAAAATTAAGGAGGTTTGGAAACGAGCCCTGCAGTCTGAGGTTATTAGGAAGAGGAGAGAATGAGTGGGAGTGGGAGCCTCAGAAGGAAACATAATGAGACGGAATAGGGATGATGAAGGATGTCCATGTCCTGTTGTGACTGAATGAACCTTCAATAACCTCAAAACCCCAAACGTGCAAAACATTTGATCAGACCGTGTGGGTTAAACAAAACAATCAGACTCATAACTCCCATGAAGAACAGAGGAAAAAGGTTCAGGATATGGTCGTTTATCGGTGTTACTCTGCTATCAGTGTGTGTGTCAACAGTAATAACCATACAAAAATCAAAAGAAAGCATCAAAACATTTGGTAATCTCAATCTAACTCAAATATGACAA